AATCAGGTAACATTCTGACGGTGACATCATAATGTGTATATTCTCACTTCGACAAGTGAAGTACCCTTGATTATTTTTAAATCTAACATTAAAAAACTGCATCGCCTTGCTCGCCACGCATATATTACCGCTGCACGCGCCTGCACACACGGCATTTCAACTCTCCGCCGTAATTGAATTGTATCATCTAATGCGAACAATTTCGCCGTGGTTTTGGAGAACAAAATAAACTATCCTGTGTCGATTGTCACGGAAAACGTTGCATGTAATATTGATCAATCGTGTGGAAAAGGACACACGTACCCCTTTGAAGTCGTGTTGCATGATTTTATTCCGCTCGGGGTGTGGTGAAGTTGTTACCCCAAACTTCCCGTCCAGCCTGAAAGCCCAACCTCAATGCCGCATGAAACACGGCTCGCCGCTACGTGAATGGGATAAAAGATAAGGCCATGAATATTTCAACCGGACCGATAAATAAAATATTACTGCGAGAGCTTATTCAAATCGGCGAAAGCAAACGTCTCAATCTACGTTCCGCCCAACAAATGTTTGCGTGCAACCGGGTTCCCTGTGGCAGGACCTGGTCCCTTTAACTCTGGTTCTGCCAATCCTGATCAAACGCACACATTTATGTCATCTATTTTTTTTTACTTCTTTCCCCCGCATCCCCCTGGGTGTTATATCACACACGTCTCTGCTTCTCTTGCTGTCATTTCACATTTTCATCTTCATTAGGTGCTACGCTGGCGCAAACACCCAACACGGAATGCACTGCTCATCGACGACTGTCAAGCAACTCTCTGAACTAACACCATGAGGTGTGTGTGTGTGCCATGATGTGGTCGTCATTACACCCTGGATTAGCAGCAAGACATCATCTTTGAAGAGATTAATTCAAAATAATACAGCACGTTGCTGGAGCTATTTGGGCCCTTACCACGATTAGTACACTATTATTTAATACCATTCCGTGTGTTTATTCATGAATACGTGTATGCAATTCATGTGCTCGGTAAAGTGAGCGTGGCTTGGGCCAGGATGCGTCAGCTAGAAAGGGATCATTGCCTATGGTAAAGAGTCTTGACGGAGTGGCAGCCAAGGAATGGAACGCGTCTGAGAGAACGACGAGAGGCAGCTCTGGGTGGATTGCGACATCACGTGACACAGGGAGATGTCGACAGCTTGTGTACGCTTTCATCAAGCGGTGGATTAAGCATGCCTAATGATGATGATGATACACGTGTAGAAATACAATGAACTTCTATTATCCACAATTCCAATTTGCTGCAAATTGTATCTTCCTATTGTCCACGATGTCACGGATAAGAGAAGCGAGAGACAAGCATTGTATATAAAACTTATACAGATGAGGGTTTTTTTCTCTTTCGAAGTAATTTATTTTCCCACAAATATGGTTACCTGTCATTAAAGCACAAATTGACAGTAGCTGGAAAACACTATTTAAATCTGTGGTTACCCACTGAAATTAAATTGTAAGATGTAGAAAGTTTAACACGTAGGATTTCGCGACCAATGTCATCCATAATTGAGGGGAGGGGGGGGGGTTGGGTTAGATCACGTAATATAAATGTGTCGTTAAACCCGCCACCACCCGACACAGCCAACTAATAAGGGGTGGTGGCGGGTCTAACGACACATTTATATATTTACGCGATCTAACCCCCAAAAAAACCTCCTCTATTATGGAAGATTTAGAAAACCACCAAAATGCCGTGCGACTGCTGGAGCAGTGGCAGGGTGGTTGTCGCCGCGAGCGCACTGGCGACGAGTCCCCCTGGCAGCTGCCGGTGCCTCGCGATATCTGCCCAGGAACCAACCCCCTTGACCAACCTACAGCGACCGGCGTGGTGAAGTATGGTCAAACCCCCACAACCAACGTGGCATGGAGAGGCCTTCAGCCCGATTGACAAAGGGCTGTATATGTGTTTGTTTATTTATGGGTTTCGTTATTTAACTGTTATGTTCAATCAAACCATATGATTTAGCTTTCCAAAAATGAACTCTAACAAGAAAATAGCAAAAATTTTGAATGAATGAGGTTTCACGTACAATCAAAATAATGTTACTTTTGATGGTCCGTCCGCATATGTGCCTCTCCATAAGCGCTACGAAAATAAATGTGTTAACAGATCACCGTACGCCACTACATATTAATCTGAAAGAATTATAACAGTTTCCTTCCAAGCCTGTCATTGCAAATGGCATGGGATAAACGTGTTAGAGGGTGACGTCAGTTACCCTCCACAGTCTAGCACTCCGGCATCATTTAAGATGTGCTGAGTTGACTGCTGGGAATACGACCATTCATTCCACGTGTATAATAACAGGTGTTTGCCTCTGAAAATTTCCCCAGAGAACTGCAGGATTTCCCCACGGAAGCCTTGCTTCAACCGTGGTGAGTTGTGGCCGATTTCAGGCTTCTGGTTAATGCTCTCGCACCGCGCGGCACAACTTGCCACGGCTTGCTTGATTTACTCTGCAAGACATTGCAAGATGCACTCAACCGCCAAACATTTCATTCTTAATTTTCCAAGGTTTAATTTACAGAAGGCTCTCCTGAACACATCATCGTCATCATCGGGCATGATAAATCCACTGCTGGATTAAGGCCGCCCCAAACCATCGCCATCTCTCACGGACCCACGATGCAATAATCCACCCAGCAGCTGCAAACTGATTTCATTTGCTCAGTCTCTACGGTGGACATCTTCTTGTGGGCGGGAGGACGGCAGGTCGGCTAAATAGACAACAATTACAATACTAAAGTGCGAAGACGATGGGTAAGAGACTCTGCGTTGTGTTCTGTCCTCCGGAGAGGTGGTGGGCGACTCGACAATGGCTGAACACCGTCGGGTGATGATTTGTGGAACGGCATAACTTTCATTTCAAAGTGGTCGCCTTCAGAAGGACAAATTGCTGTGCCTGCAATAGCGATCAGAGACTCACCCTCCACGTCGCAACGACGCAGCTGAATTCCTCGGCACGAAATCCACCCAAATCTCTGATCACCATTGCCGGATCTTAAAGAGAGAAACGCACCTGTCTCTCCGCACCTTTGGGAAATGGTTTCTCGGGTTCCCATATGCTACAGAGTCCACAATTTTACCTCATTGATCACAGGTGAGCTCACACCGGCTATGCGAAGACGGTACATGAGGGCACATTCTCCACGCTATTACAGATGGCGTGAAACGGACATTTTTTTGAGACTGGAAATCGCTCTCCGCTACCGGGCGTTGAATCGTTAAGCCCACATTTTCTGCCGAATGTGATTGAAGGTGGAGATAAGCTCACGACATGCCAGCTTTCAACACGATCAGCATGCGAGGAGTGCTGTGCAAAAAGAGTGACAGCTCTGGGGGCTGCCTGTGGGAGCCGGAACGAGCGAGCAACACCCATTGCCACGCGCTCCCCCCTCGAAGCCAGGGACGGACTGCGGAGACACGAGAGGGGATCTTTGGCAAAAAGGTGCGAAGCACAATACAATTATAGACATTTGGAATAAGTGGCCGAATTGGAGCGTATCACATTCTCAAGGACTAGAATTGCATTGTGGTGTACCAGTGCGAGCCGGTACAACAACGTGCAATAAAATCGGGTAATTATTATGGATCTAATGGTTCAAGAATTCCTACACGCGTTCAAGTGTACCACTTCCTCGTACTTTCGCGTAGCTTGTTGAGATTGGGAACACAGAAGCCTTGCACTACGCACTCCAGTTGCGCCACAATGGCACAACAATGATCAGTTCGTAAATTGCATAAATGTTTAAGCCGTTCAGTGGTGGCTATGCACGTGGCCTGTAACCCAGCACTGTGGAGGTGAGGGTTGTCGGATCACACACGGATGTTGTGAAACTCCCTGCTCGCGGGCGTCTGAAGGCAGTACAGCAACCACGTGGAGTCCATCAGAAGGGGAATCGAGTTTTGCCCCCTTGCACGTGTGGATTCTCTCCTGGTGCTCCGGGTTCCTCCCAGATCTAAACACTTATTGATTGCTCGATAATAGCACCTTACAATAGAGGATCACAGAGCTTGGGCAATAGTTGGCGCTGCCTCACCACCTAGTTGCTTCCTTTCCTGCTTGTCTGTGGTTCCTCCACAAGCCTGAGTTGTCCTCTTCAATTGAATGAACACTGTGTGGTACACTCCAAGTTAAAATTATGATTATTCATGGCCAAGATCCATGACCTTTCCTCCCACTTTCAATGCACAATCAATTACGATGCTAGTTACTGCATTATTTAAAGTGGTGATATCCATTTCATCATTTGGCTCCTCCAGGCATTTGAATGTTGATGAGTTGCTCCGAGTGAGCAATGGTAAAGGCTCAAAAGCAAACGGAACAGATGTGAAACCACAAAGGGCATGCGGATGAAGAGAGATGTAAAGAGACAGAGATGCTAAAAAAAACCCAGTGGAATAAACATAAAGTCTGTAAAACAATTAGGAAAATGAGACAAGAATGAGAAGAAAAATGGGAGACCATCAAATGATTGAGGATGTCATAGCAATGATTGAAGACAAAATGGGATCATAAAAGCAGGAGATCGGTAGCCAATTGGAAATGTACAAATGGTAGCCCTTAGCAAGAAAGATGGGGGAAATGACACACCATACGGAATCTTCAAATTAGCATAGAAATGTTATAAATATCTTGAGAGAAGGAAAAAAACTCCGTACATTCCAGAAAATCAACAGTTTTTCAGATGAAGACGAGGACATTCCAGATGTCACGGCTGAAGAAGTAAACACTGCCCTCAAGAGCATGACGGGAAAGCTCATGGACCAGATGGTGCGACTGGATATTATCAAAGCAGCAGGGGAACAGTCGTTGGAACTAAATTAGCAGAACTATTCCCAAAATGTTTACACAGAAATCACCATCTCAAATTTGCGTGATGACATGTGCAAGACGTCTAGCCAGTGTGGACAAGTAAAACAAAACCTAAGTCAAGGAAAGCACAACGCTATTAACAGAACATACATTTATTTTCTGCATAAAGAGGTCACAATTTGACAAAAAATGCTCGATAACACAACCAACATTGTGATGTCGAGGTAAGGAACTGGGAGGCTGGGGGTAAACGCAGGAGCTTTGTCGCGGATTGTCCCAAACATCATTTCTTAAACGTGGGTCGTGAACCCAGGCGTGTCACCGTCGATACTGGGACCGATGATACAGTGAATGCAGCTTTTGTATTTATACATTTAGAAAAAGTAAACATTCGGGTAGGTGCCAGTTTAATATATGAAATAAAAAAACAGCACATTTAAGTCTTTCGATTGTAAAAAATAATTTACACACTGACCTAGCAACGTTGAGGGTTATGACGTCCGTAGCAGATCCCAGTTATGGCAGTCGACACCTGAACCACAATTCTGTTCTTACAAATTGACATTGGGGAGAATGATTTGTTTTTGAGAGAGCGCCCTATCTGCCAGGCCTTCTCAGAGTACTTAAAATCACATTTCCAACTTTTTGAAAGGGCATCCCAAGCGGCGGCTGCCTCTGCAGGCACAGGGTCACTCCGCACCCGGCATGTGCGTGGGCATTAGTCCGCTATGTGTAATTACAACTGTGTACTTTGCAGTGTAATTTTCAAAATGTTGTAAATGTGTACCCCGTCGCGCAATGGCCTACTCTTCCGAATGACGTCAGGGGACCTTTGTGCATATATTGGCACAAGGCAGAGGCAAGTGGAAACCAGTGACGACGCGTGCAGTGGACACCTACGGGCAATCTTCCCCGTGGGTCGTGATGATGACAGAGCCCAAACTCGACTGCAAACCGCCATTGCAGCGTCCGAGTAGCTAGGCCTGCAGCGAGGCCTGCTTGTGCGCCTTGGCGTTGTTCACGAGGCCGTGCATGAATGTGAAGAAGAAGAGCAGGTTGTCGTGCTGCCCGGCGTACGGCCCCTGCTGCAGCAGGCCGTGGTATTCGACAAAAAAGTAGTAGATGGCCTCGATGGTGGAGAGGAAGGTACGTGGGGTTCCCTTCTGGTGGCGCCAGAACTGCGATTCCCACGCCTGGAGTTTCACACACTGCAGGGCTGAGCAAAGAGAGACAACATAGCAATAAGTCTTCATCGTCATGGTCATCACCCAGCCATGGGCAATCCACTGCTGGATGAAGGCTTTCTGAAGCTGTCGCCACCTCTCACCGTCCTGTGATGTAATCTTTAATCGAGCATCTGCACAGAAACTGATTTCACCGTCCTTGGATTTAATTTACTGCTTGAAAAAAATATACAATAATTTCATATTCTTAACCACAAAATCTTCACCGAGTCTCAAAATTATTTAGAAAATTGGTCACGCATTGAGACATTTCGCCGGTTCCATTTAACGAGTGTTTTTTTTTACGTGGGAGGAAATGGAAGTGCGTGGAGGAAACCTACGAATGTCAGGGGATAACACCGTCAGGATTGCAAGGAGTGCACAGCTGATTTAATGTACTGCCATTACCTGGAATGCAACCGATCTCAGAAGCTAACCAGGGTTGAGCCTGGATAGTTTGTTGATGGGTAATCACTGTGAATAAACAGACTGCTGAACAGCCACTTGGTCTGCATAAAGCCGTGCAGGCAAATCCATTGTTGGACTGCAAACATGCTCCTATGTCTACGCTTCCCGCTTTCACTGACCCGTTTTCACTGACCGCACGGTGAAATCATGGTCAACTCCGATTACCACGGTTGGCTACGTACGGTGCAAAAGAAGTTCAACATACAAATTGCCCCGACAGCCCATGTGGTGTGCGGAAGCACTCATCCAACAGTGGATTTATAACAAGGCCATACATTTACTCGTGTACATTACCTGGCCACGTCAAGTTTTGGGAATTTTACAAATCTATGTGAACCACTCACCCTTGCCTCCCAAGTGCGGCATCACATGCACGCGTCATCACGCACAGGTGTCGTAGATAAGACCGACCCTCGCCATTTCACCTGTGGAATCGCTATCAAGTGTCTCGGGGCTACGAACAGGTATGAGCACCACCACAAACTCGTTTCTGAGCAGAATTTCTGATGAGTGAGCACACGCACGTACAACTCACCTTTCAATCTCTCGTCCATGCTCATTTTGTTCGTCTGGTTCCAAGTGCTGTCAATGAAAACCACCCGGTGGAAGGGACCTTCTGGATACCTCTTCGCAGAATCCGCTGGCACCTTCGGAGGTAAGCTGGGCACCGGGGTGCAGTGCTCTTCTTTATCGCCAGCGAGCTTGATTTTCTTTACCGCCTGCGGTGAAGGATCACTGGATTGTGAATCGATGCGAGGAGTGACGTCATTTCTGGGCTTCTCTCCTTGATCTTTTTTGTCATCTTTCGTTATCTCTTTTTCCAAATCCTCGAGTGTGACGGAATCGGGTCCGGGAAACACGAGCAAAACCTGCGACCGCAATAAAAAGACACCCCCCCCCCCCGAATAAATTGGCGCTAATATAACAAAAAAACCTCAGTACAATACTAATTAGGCAAGAATTAAAATATAGACTACAAAGATAGAATAATTTTAATTGGCGACATTTACACACAGTGCCAATAGGGTGATGTCATTTGCCGAGGCCACTAGAGCTCAACCTTTTTGGTAGGATGCCCCCTCCCCCGCCCCCCCAAATCAAGATCACTGGTCTCAGTAACCCTCACCCCCTCGCCCCCCGCACCCTCCTCACCCCCTTCCTCACACTTCTTCCTTGTGGTGAATACCGTATTCTCTGGAATATAAATTAAATTGTCACCCCCCCCACCTACCCGGTATTTGAATGCAACAAAAAGTTGTGGTTTCACCTTGCAATCCGGTACGTGTGTGCGTGTGTGTGAAAACAGATCTGTTAAAGCTTTACTGACACCGGGTGTAGCGCTTGGGGTGCATCTTACTTTCCGGACTGTCTTATAAATGCGGTGGATATTTTTCGAGACTCTTGTAGTATGGTTTCCATACAATGCATCGTCCTCCATATATAGAATACTCCCTATTTGCCACAGAAGATTGAGGCATTAATCCACGATTGAAGTGTTTTCATTTTAGTGCAAACAGTTGTTAAATAGGGCCACTAATTTTGTTACAACACCTGGTCGCGCTTCTTTAATATGTCCAGTTATTCCATCTGGGAGCTTTCCCTGTTTTCATACGCTGAAGGGCAGCAACTGCTATTAGCGTGACATCTGGAATTTCCTCCTCTTTCTCTAAAAAGAGTATTCGTTTCCTGAGTTAGATGTTTTTTTTTTCTGCGAGACATGCATATACATTTCCTCCGCGAGTTTTAAGATTCTGTCCCAACCATGTGGTACGATTCCATCTCCAAAGATATACTATTTGTGATTTCCCAATCGTCAACATTCCGTCCGCTGCCTTCGTGCTCCCATTGTTATTAAGACCTCTTCAATCAATTGGGCGTTTTCCACATTTTTTATAGGAATGTGATCGTGATTTTCCAATGCCATGGAATCTGCGTTGTTATGCACTGCATATCTGCCATGCAAAAGCACTTAGTACGCCCTAGAAAGTATGTCCTCGGAGCTGGGATTTACCTTGGAAAAAAAAGGATGGCTTTGTGTACATTAATTATTGACTGAAGTGAGGCCATCAACGTGTTACACTTAAGAACCTGCAGTAATCCATGAGTGGCTGCCCAGATTGGAACAGAAGAACACAACGGTGCTGGCTTAGTGCACAAACGTGTTATTAGTCCCCTCCGCAACATGGCCACCTCAGTCTTCGTATTTCTTTAGTGATACTCGATGTCGTGTTAATAAGCATGTATGTATCTTGAACTTCTTTGGCACCGTACGTAGCCAACCGTGCTAATTGTAGGTGCAGGGGAAGGAAAACAAACGGAACACAAAAAAACAATTCTAAAAAATGAATTTTCAGTCTAGATGATTTCAACGTGAATAGCTCCAGTAGCTTCCTAATATCGGAAGGAAGAGCGTGTCAGACGGCCGCGTAACCATGACACATCGCGGTATTGTGATATGCACTACAATCTAACGTGGAGGCTCGCCTTCATCACCCAGAAACCTAAAAACAAAACACAACATAAAAACCACAAATAGCTCTTGCAACAAAATAGATAAGCAGATAATAAATGTCTCCTACGTAAATATATCTATCCACGTAAAAATAAAACGACGTTTTACACAACGATCCCACGGCCTTCTGAGAATGCAAAGCTTCAGCAGCATTGGCTCAAATACAAGCCACACTCTGGACCAGTTTTGACACAGTGTCTCATCAACAGTCTGGCTTTCTTAAATGAATACTGCTGAACAGCCCAATGTCATAGGCAAAAGTCCCTCTCTTTAAGATATGGGCCCTATCTTGATGCAAAATTACCTTATGACAATGTAAGCGGTATGTCCTCAGCTGTCTGAAATGAATGTGAAGCTTATCGGCATTTTTAATCTCTATCAAATGTGATGGAGTGATGTCAGTCGGGTTCTTTTCTATGTTAGTATAGTTGACAACCTTCATAATTTTAGTAAAGTCTTTATTTGGGCACTTCACTTCGCCATTCTTTCAGTTTAATTGACTTATAATCATAATCAGAATATGTATTTGCACTGGAAGAATACAATGAGCTATAAAGATCTTCTTCACAAATGTCCAGTAGGGGCAGGTCAGAACGTTACAACAAAAAATACAAAAACATGACAGGAGTGCAAAGTATAGCAAAGGTAAGCAAAACACTAAAACAATATGCAAATAAAACTAAATTATTTGTACTTTACCAGGTAAGGCCCACTGAGCTATTAGCTTCTTCTTCAGAATCGACCTGGCCACAAAAATAGCTCAACGAAGTGGCTTACGTGGACATTTATAGCAGCCAAATCATCTAAATAATCGACGTAATGGTGTGCGAGGGGTGAAAAATTCCACCCCCCCAACCCTGCCCTAATATTATCACGTCAACCAATCGGTGAACACCGTTGATCTTTTAATGCGTGCGTACATAGCCAATTAGAGTGCTTTTATTCGTGCACTGCAGTCTCGAATAACGCGACGGACATTATTTCCCGTCGGCGTCTTCAGACCCGTTAGTCGCGCTTTGGTCTGTGGTGGGTAGTCGTCACGCGTCACGAATACTTTGTTCATCATTAACTTTCGTTAACAAAATCAACACAGGATGTCAGTGTGGTGTCACGCCTGTTATTTTTAATAAAACACCATTGGGATCACTGGAACACTCCTGTGAATCGTGTTTTTAAATGAAACCTTCAACCTCATGGTGCACAACTCGGAACACAGATTAGGCAAGCACTGACAAAAGCTGGGCGGGGGGTTTGGGTTGCATTTTCCTTTTAATTTGCACCTACACTGGAGCTGACAGCAGCGAGTGCCTCCTGCTGGTGAGGATTATTAACCATTCTCGGCTTGGGAAGGATGCTACATTCACAACTGATGCGAGCTGTGATGGGCGATGGCGAGATGTCACAATCGATGAAACATCAAGTCAAATATAAACGCAGATTTCGACTGCAATTCGATCCGTTTGTCATTTCCCTGCCCCCCCCCACCGCCCCAATATTATCCCCATTTTGATATCGGTGTCAGGGTCACGAGGCTAAATATTAATTCTAATCTCTCGCAGGGCAGCAGTACAACCCTTCGTGTTGGATAACAGCCCACGGAGGAAAAGGTCACAGCTACCTCAGGTCCACGCAGCAGTGGGCGGCACTTTTCTACCCGCTCTGCGGAAGCGAGTAATGTCTGTTGCACGACAATTAATCCAATGTTTTAAAATTCTCAGAGCCGAGATTTTTCACCAAATTGCAAAACCAAATTTAATGCAATTACTTGCGAGTTCGGTCCAAAGTCATAAGTTGATTTCCCAAGTAGAGCCCGCCGAGCTATTCGGCTCTTTTTTCAAAGGCGACTTGGCCAGCAGACAACAGTGGCAGTCACTGGTGACCGGACTGAGACCAACGGCTCCGAGGACCTGGTTTTAATCACAGGAAAGTGCCTGGATTGGAACCCATGGCCTCATCGGTGCTAGCTCAGTACTCTTGATCTCCGAGCCAATCAGCTACCTCCCACCACAAACACACATTCACATTTAATGAACGCTCACCTTTTCATTTTTATCATACTCCGGGAAGCAGGGGTAGGTGTACATGGTGACATCGTCTGGAGCCAAGATGCAGGCATGCACAGCTGTACTTTTCCCATCCGTCTCGCAGGAATGCTTAATGATGTCAACCTTTAAGGGCAACTGTCGGAAGTGCAGGGAAACAATGGGTTATTACAACAATACGCCGTGCATTTGCACTCAACGTTGGTAGCAGAGGAGGCAGAGCCTCACCTGTCATACTCCAATGAAAATAGCTGTTACGAAAAGTAAAAAAAAAAGAATCAAATAAAATATTAAGATTTTTCCACTGATCTGTGTTATAAATGTAATTTCTGTACGATTCCAATCATTTTTATAGTCAAAATCTCCAAATTTGCGGAGCTCCGCTGCAAATACAGGAAGAGACGAGACGAGAGGTGAGGCAGCGACGAGCTCAGCATCCCCTCTGATTGCGCAACCCCTCAGTAACTGGATGGAGCGCGGGCAATAAGCGGGTACCTGTTAGTATCTCAGTGTGTCACCAATGTAATGTTTGTAGACCCCTTCATTTCATGTCCTCGCCTTCCATACTCCAGGCAACTTATTTCACGTATGTGTATAAATATATTTAGGCTCGCTGGTCTCGTCATGAAACTGCAATGAAAAAGCACCAGGGGAGGCAGCTATCACATCTGCCTCACTGAGGGAGACGTCTAACACGCCCCCCTCAGTGAGGACACACCCCCCTCAGTGTGTGAATCTGGCTCTGACACTAGCCAGTGCCTCCCCAGCCATTGACCTAACCGCACGTCACTGGTTGGTAGTGTGTCCATCAATTATTACACCTTGTTAAACATGCACAATGGGGCAACTTTTTTTTAAGCATGGCATCTGCCCAGCACAGATCCATTGCCCCAATATGCCAATCAGCTGGTAACAAAACAGCACACTATTGCAAGTATAGCAGGTAAAATGCAATGTACATTTCTTGAGTTGAGCAAGGGTATAGGAACCTGGCGAAGAGAGACGAGGAGAGGATTACAAAGTCGAGCTGTGCAAGATGATGACCAGCAGAACTAGTGTTGATTGAACGCAGGGCGGATGAGATGATACAATTTGGTAGACCGAGTCCCCAACATGGGTGGAGGAATCAATGAGTGATGTTCACACAAACAATAATGATGGTAATAGTAATAGAAGAGGATTGTGACAACCAGCGACTGGAGTGAAGCAGTGAGCGCTGGATCACCAATTCACCTGACCGCATTTAGTTGAATTATAACAGGATACAGCTAATGTGGAATCAACATTTTACTCTAATAAGATATCACGGAATGTAATATGATCATACAATGCAATACACTTTGAAGTAAACAAACCTTCACTCTTGGCACGCGTTCTTCTGAAATCCCCTCCAAAAGTGAGAAGCAAGTGTAACAGTAAAACATTCGTGATGCTTGGCACTTTGGGCACTTGGACCGTCCGCGCTTCATTAATTCTTCCAAGACCGTCTGGGATGCCATGCGGAGGTGTTTGAAGGACCCCTCGGCGAGTTGGGTCGGGCCTTGTTCTCCCGACACACTCCTGGGCTGCTTGGGATAGCAGCTGCTGTCCCCCTGCGAATCCTCCACTTTGTCTCCCTTCTCCATCTTTTCCATCATCGATGCCACCGATCGAACATGAGGCGTTTTGAGGGTTCACAGTTTGCGCGTTCTGAAAGAGACAAACGTATTTTGCTTTCAGGATGTAGTCAAGTTTACTATTGTTAAACCAGGTGACAACTCAAAAGGCTGATTTGCACGAGTTACTCAATAGGCTGATTTGAGTGACCTGGGGCATTAGTCAGTGGGAGGTAATGATTGCTTTGTATAATTCCAATTGAGTGATTTGTGGGTAATTTTTTCATTTGTTACATTTGGGCCATGACGCTGGCACACAATGGTGTATACTCTTGTGAATTACATCGGGGGATCATAACGACCACTGTGAAACTGACGGCGCAAATTATTACGGTTATGCCCACAGTAATAATCAGGGTGCCGCTTAATTCCAACCGTCAACAAGCGGCGAATTCGCTGCCGCGACATCATTGCCCAGACACAAAGAACATGAACACGGCGCTTTGTAATTCTGGAGGAAAGTAACAAAAATCGAAACCAAGGCCAAGAAGCCATCACAGCCAATGTAACCAACGCTACCGCACCTCACCATCGCTACCGACCGATTCCTCACCCGATCACCAAGAACCACTCAACAGAACTATGGCTACCACCGTCAGGTTTGAGGTCTTTCATATGGTCCCCAACCTCAATGCAACGAGTTTCATTAACCTGCCCTCGCCAACCTCCAACACGTATTCCACCCACTGCAACTTCAACAATACAGTACTTCTAATACATATTGAAAGCATCGGGTCCTCAATTGGTCGTCTCGGTCTCATCACCACCCCTTGGTTGCTGATCTCTGGGTGTTAATCCAATGCCCGGTGAATGCATAACCTAACAGTTGATTCAAATATTGACAGCATAAAGTGGAATAACAATTAACCCCCTGATTGATTCTATGAACTGTAGATTCAGTGCCACGGTTCGATTCCAGAATCAATTTATTTAATACTGATGTTAACGTTGAAGTAATTGTAGGTGGAGATCGCATGAACCCATTGGAACATATATGAATAAGAAAAACTACAGTAATCTTCCACGTCAATGCATGCACGTTTTCATAATTTATATGAATGAATTCATTGGTACACCCAGATAATATTTGCGGTTAAGTTTATAAGTATTCAAACTTGATTTGAAGCTTTCGTGACTGCAGGAATTACTCTTTGGTTCTTTCGGTAAATTCACTTAGAAATTTTATTTGATAAGTATTTGCATATATAGGGCACTTACTTAAATGCCATACGTTCCTTGCGTTTCATACAATCGCAAACATTACATTGGCTTGCTGCAGTCTAGCAAAGTGTAGCCCCAGTGGCTGGCAGAAAAGGTTCAGCAGGTGTGCAGAGCACCAGCCTACAAATGTCTGTGCCACGAGAGGACTGTGATACCGAGGTTTTTCCAAATTGAGAGCAATGTATCAAATTGGGCAATTTTGGACCATGACGCAGGCACATATGGCCTACTCATTTTTGAATGTCACGATCGTTAATACCCACTGTAAGGGAGACAACACATGTTTATTGTTAACAGACCTGTGGTGCCAGAGGTTTTGACTTTATAGTGTTTTTAAGAGAGTGCACTTGCTTTTTTCTTTACATCTGCAACAAGCCGCAGAGATTTCTCATTGGAAACCTGGCAGCAACAATGTTCAATTTTTACTTGAAGCTTTCGTTACTGCAGGAATTCATATTCTTTGGGTCTTTCGGTAAAGTCACGCAGATAGGTTCAAAGACTTTATCCAAAGACCCAAAGAATTATAAATGTTAAATTTTGCATTATCAAGAGTTAGGGATGAGGCATTAACATCTTTGGGAGTGTTTGTTGTTGTGATCAGGTTATTACTGGCAAGCAGGACTAAGATCGATCACCCTTTGTCGATACACAAGTCATGGGGTTGACCATACTTCATCCCCGAAAACTGAGAACTACACAAGTACACTACTTGAAAATACTGCAGTGGATTTACAAAGGGCTGTATCTATACACTGATGCTATATGCTGGTATATGGGTCCCCCTGTTTATCTAACCCATCTAACTTTGTGGAATTCCCTTGGCAGTCTGTGGCTGGGCATGACTTACGAATAATGGATCATCATCGCCACGACGACCCATGTACAGCCACCTGTTTGTCCATCTGCTGCATTAGGGCCTCTCCATGACGTCCGGGTCGTGGGGTCATGTTTACCTTACTTCACCACGCCGCTCAGTAGCCGGGGTTGGGGGGGGTATAGATGTCGGACCGTAGTGCAGTACAACAATTACATTTGCTGCACTGCCCACAACGTGGCCCACGTACGTAACGTTGCACATCGGATATTCTTAGCGGTCCCAGAGCTAATGACGCCTCGTGGTTGATCGAGCCATCTAACACAACACTCTGCTGCCCACGTGGCTCCACATGGCTGCTTGGCATCACTGAAGAACATCAACACAAACGACTGACCTCGACATTCCCGTCTCTATCACGGACATGGAGGGCCATACACAGTCCCCGTCTGTCAAGGGGCAGTCAGCTACAATACATTTACAACAAACCTTCGTTCACCGACGTACGCACGTGTGCGCGCACAAATACAACAATAACACCGTGAGAGTGGAGTACTCTGTCGTGAAAAGACTCGGCCCAGCAGCGTCTCGCTCAGGACACTGCCGACGGAAGGGGCCTTCGCTAGCGGGAGCTCTGGGAACCCTTCTCGACTCTTGAACAGGGTTCACCTTGGCCTACTCTTCCACCGCGGGTCTCAGACCAGGTGGTAGTAGCCACGCTTTACACCCCACCAGCAGTGGTGGAGCCAATTTGACGGCGGGCAACAGAAGCACCCGGCCTCATCTTAAACACGCATTCTCCATCGCTCAGCTGCCGCGCCTGGAGATCGTGTGGGCTACGGGACGATGTTAAAGTGGTTTCGCAGTGAATGCTTCCAAACGAAACCTTCGGGCGCGCCAGCAAGGAGCCCTTTTAGCGGCTAGAAAAAACACAAAACGCCGCCTCCCGCAACGATTAGCTCGAAGCGAAGTTATTTTTTTTAAATCACCTCCTTCCATTTAAAACGTCGCAAGAGTCAGCGAGCCACAATAACAACAATAACAACAAGAAGATAATCTCCCGGGCCCCCCTCTCGCTTCTTGTTGACGACCTCCGCGAGTAGTGGAGCCGCGCCGGAGACGTCGGGAGGCGGCCACCGCGGGGCCCCGGAACGAGCATCGCGCCGCGCACGTGCTCCCACATCAGAGGATTCCCCACTCACCACCCACCCTCTCTTAACCATAGTAGTAGGTCAACTTGGTTCTTTCGGTAAAGTCACGTAGAATGGAAATAATAAAATAATAAAACATAATAAAATAATAAAACATAATAAAATAATAAAACATAATAAAATAATAAAACATAATAAAATAATTCTCACGACGTTTCGGCCACAACGCAAGCAGCTGTTCTCAGGTGAAGAACAGGTCTGTGGGGAAGACAATCTTTCCGTGTCTTTCGTGTCTACCCGACATACCTGTTCTCCACCTGAGGACGGCTGCTTGCGTTGTGGCAGAAACGTCGTGAGAATCGTATTTTATAATGTTTCATTTTTATTATTTTATTATTTCCATTCTACGTGACTTTACCGAAAGAACCAAGAAGATGAATCCCTGCAGTCACGAAAGCTTTAAATCGAAATATAGTAGTAGGTGTTTACCCTTTCAACTGGTACAAAAACTGACACCTTTATACAAGGCATCATGTTTGCAATAACCACAACACAAGCAGTCAAAATGCAAACAAAAAGAAACAACTCTGATAATGATAATTGTTTTTTTTCCCTTTTATCTGGCAACAAAACTGACACCTTTTTTACGAGGAGTCATGTTTGCATAGACCACAATACCTGCAGACATAATGCAAACAAAAAACATAACTCTGATGATAATGTATGCACTGTCCTTGAAGTTGATTGGTCCACACCCGAGACAGCTTTCCTTAGAGCCTAGTCTCCACTGGTGTTGGACCCGATGACGCCAAAAGGCGTACACAACTCAAAAACAGTGCACTATCAGAGTATTGAGAGCTCGGGGTAAGCATTTAAACTATGAGACATCTCCTTTACCAGTGGCAAAATATAGTAGTAGGTGTTTACCCTTTCACTCCTAACTAATTAACTATTGTAACCAGGCAAAGGCCGCTGAGCTAGACAGGTATTTTTGTTTCTAAAGCGATCTGACGATCGCAGACGATAAGCTCAACGCAGGGGCTTGCCAGCACGTGGATTGACAATGCACGGCGGTCAATTAGCTCAGGGAGAGACGCAGACTCCAAATATACAGCAGCAACAGGCACCGTCAGGGTCAGGATCTAACCTACGACCTCCTGTGTACCTGGCGAGGTAGTCAACATCTCATAGCCACCGTGATGATGATGATGAGAGAGAGAGACACGCAGACTCCAAATATACAGCAGCAGGCACCGTCAGGGTCAGGATCTAACCCACGACCTCCTGTGTACCAGGTGAGGTAGTCAACATCTCATAACCACCGTGATGATGATGAGAGAGAGACACGCAGACTCCAAATATACAGCAGCAGGGAACCGTCAGGGTTAGGATCTAACCCACGACCTCCTGTGTACCAGGCGAGGTAGTCAACATCTCGCTCATATACTTTATTTAAATTAAACTGAGACAGGAACGAGTAAGCAGGGATTCTGGATCTTAGCCTGAATGGCCATCAGAAAATTAAGTGAATAATAGAGAGACGTGGTTAATATAATAAGTAAAGCCGTCTGCGAGTATTCCAACGTGTATGTATGCTGAACTTCTTTCGCACCGTACGTAGCCGACCGTGCGAATCGGAGTGGACAGGATGAATGATGGACTTACAAATCGACATACGAACAGATATCTGGATCCTAACTCGTTCGTAAGTCGATGAGTCCCTGTACGTGTATGTCACCGCATATAACACTTTGAGGCGTTAGAAATGTCCTATAACTGTCACTATTATTAATTATGACTAACAGAACATTGTCACTACATTTGAGCACATTTTATTTTGTCGGTTAAACTAAAAGGGTCGCAATGATGGTGACGCACAAAGGCTGAATGTTGTTTGTTACACGTTTCCGTGTTGTTTGAAACCTATGGTTTTCCAGTTTGCATACTTTTTTTTCTAATTTATAGAATTGATTAAGCACCTTTATAAATCACACCGTTTAAGCTACCTTTGAACGTCTATGATACACACTAAAATGCCAAGCATGGCAGTTACCCTTTACCCTAATCTGACTTTATGGTGAACTTCAGAAACCACCAGCTATCGTAACTAAAGCGGTTGATTTCCCTGGTCAAACACTTGCATTGGGGTGGAGCAGTGGTGCAGTGAGCGACTCATGCACTAAGCAATGAGCCGGTCACCTGAGTTCGACTCCCAGACACGACTGGCATCAGTCGTGAGTGACATTTGAGCCAGTCCTGGCCCACTCGCCTTTCCCAGTCCACACTGACCAGCATGGTGACTCACGGTGAAACAACCATGGCTGGGATGATGTAAAGAGGGCTTCATTCAGGAGTAGATTCATATGAGTATAAATGTATAATAATGAAAGGTTTCAGTGGATGTAATGTCTCGATAATAGAGGTTTTTTTAGGTTAGATCGCGTAAATATAAATGTGTCGTTAAACCCGCCACTATCCGATATAGCCAATTAGTGAGGGTTTTCACGTAAACAAAACATGCCAATTAGTTACTAGTTCAGCACACCCGGTGTTTTAGAGAGTAAACCCACAACATTTACAATTTGAGTACGACGTTTCTCCGGTAATTACAACCAGGCTCATCAGACCGACAGCCAAAATACGTGACAAACCTTACGAATTGGCTATATCGGATGGTGGCGGGTTTAACGACGCAATTATATTTACGCGATATTACCCAAGAAAACCTCTATTGTCGATATTGCTCGCAAAAGTGTACGTGGTAATATGTATGATTGGCAAATACAACCTCGCTCATTTGACATTCCACAATTCAAGTTATCTCGTCAACAGAACCCACACTTAAATAAAACCCCGAAAAATACAAATTTTAAACGTTATTTAATCGTACAAAGTTCAGTAATAATCTGCCATGGAAGAAAGTATACAGTACTTGTTTATTGTATGAACAAAAAAACCAATGTCAACATATGCAAGTTTAAACACCGTTCAAGCTAAGTTCATATAATACAGTATACATTTAAACTCTGCTTGATACAATACAGGATGGAGATTATTGTGCAGCCTTTGAGATTACACAACCAATGGGCTCAAATATACCACAACGACACTGCACATCGCAGACCTCTGTATAATGAACCACAAACAATAATTATTGTTATATGAATGCTGTGGCTCTTACTGGGTAGGTTTTTGCGGTTGTGCTGTATACATTTGCAATATGTTGTCCTGCGTGCTTTTCGGCGCGTTTGTCCAACGTTTAGATTCGTGTGCTGGGAGCATCTTCAGGAATTGATTTGTTTCGTGAACAGCCCTTGGAGCAAAACGTCGGATATCGTGCCGAACAGCACGCATTGCGATCCATAAAACACAACGGAGAGCTCCGATTCCGGCATAGGCATAAGCCTGTCTGACAATGTGTGAAAAGGGGCCTGTATTGCAAGTCATATACATTAATTAGATGCAGTGGCCAGAGCAGCTATTCATATTTACTATAACGTTGTTGGCCCTCAAGCCTGAGAGGTTTTCAGCAAATATACGCGATCAAATAGATGAAATGGCAATTGTAGTCAGGGTTTCTGTAATACGATCCATGTAATTTGTTATATGCCTTTAAAAAAGAAGACCAATATGGAGTGGGCAATAATTCAGAAAAGCTGCTACAATGGTGTAATGGTTCGCACAATGGACTTGCAATCCAGAGGTCACCAGTTCAGTCTCCTGGCACGGCAGTTGAAACAACGGGAACGTTTTTTGAATGGATGCAAATAGTTGTATGTTTAGTTTCGTCAATAATGGTTGCTAAGCACAGGTCCAAAGGCCTGAAACGCCAACCAACCACCACCAAATTACAACTGGTTACGGATAGTCATTGCAATGAAGGATAATTCACATTTAACCATGAGCATAATCGTATACATGAATGCAAAACAAGTTTTAAAATAATGTTGCTACTATTGGACAAGTCTTTTTTTTGTCTCATTAACACAAGTTTTTTTTCCCATTGTGCCATCGGACATCACAAGCCGAAGCGTCTATTCCCGACTGACACACAGCAGGGACGCGGTGTTTGAGACATTGGGCCCGTGGAATTTATATTCCCTTCAATTGACCTTTGTAGTGCACACACGAGGTGGCACACTTTCCCAGATGCCTTGCTGCTGCAGGAATTGTAACCAAATCAGGTGAAAGTGATAACGCTGTGGTTTTTAAATGCAGCCTTGGGTGGCTGGGCTCAGACCATCAACTCATTCCTCATGGAAACCTACGTATGTTGAACTTCTTTCACACTATACGTAGCCAACCGTGCTAATCGGAGGTGCGGGGGAAGGACAACAAACTAAACACAGAAAGGAGTTTTAAAGAGATTAGTGTCCAATCGAGATGATTTAAACGTGCAAAGCTCCAGTGGCTAATATTGGACGGAAGAGCGTTCCAGGTGACGGCAGAAGCGCATCTAAAAGCGCACGATGCGGTGACCGTCTTTGTCCAATGGTTAGCCAAAAGATCACGTGATAGTTTATGCTTCTAGAGGAGATCAGCAAGGTGTTGTTGTTGTTGATTAGTGGCAAGCACTTTGTGTGTAATGAGTGCGGCCTTACAATGGATTCGTTCGGCAACCGCAAGCCAATGCAGCTTGGCGAGCACTGGTTTCATCATGGGTGCCTGCCCAGATTCAAACCCATGACCTCAGCGGTGCCGCCTCAGGGGTCAGATCTTGACTTGTGTGAGAGAGCAAACAACATAATAAATGGACACGCAGCAAATAACAATTGCAAACACTGAGACTCGATACAAAAGTAAACCATTAGCACTACCGGTCATTAGGTTTCCAATTAAAAGTAGGACAATTTACCCCACTTATATAAATAAAAAATATATATTTCTGCTTCTGTCTCATCTCACTGCATCCTGAAAGCATTTGAGAAAAAAAGTTAAGGTGGTGTAATTATGAGGGTTGCTGTAATCCGGAAATACCGTAAAATATCAGATCCAGGATAATCATACCGTCTGTTTTACTAAACATCATAATCGTAATTATTGTTCCTAATTTACATTTTTAAGGACTTTATTTGCTGACAATATGTATGACAGAAAAAGCATGATAATTAAACTTCCAAATAGATACCTATTGCCTTTAAAATTACTGCTTTGCAAAACTTTTCTGGAGTAATTGACGGCATGGTTGTTATATCAAGTCATTACTTTTGTAGTTACGTAACTGCCGGCATGTGCATTGTCAGCTTTATTTGTTGTAAAGTTGCAATGAATAGAAGACTTATGGCAAGCATATGTTTAGTGAACTGTGGTTGAAAAAAATGTTGACTACGTATTCTCACTGGATGTGCAGCACAGCACATAATGTAATAGATTGCTAATTACAAAGTTATTTTAAACTGATATCAAAATTGTCACCATTTCGCAAAAATGAAAATGCTGTCGTACCGTGAGCATTTATATCAGTTTAACATGTAAGCTTTCGCAACCAATATTATCCATAAGAGGTTTTTGGGTTAGATCACGATCTACCCCAAAAACCTCTGTTATGGATAACACTTAAACCACATCATCATGTGAGTCCTGCTCTTGAGTGTGGCAGATTTTACAAAAAGAAATGTTGCTGGATTTTTATCATCACTATTATTCATCTCGTATAATTTGAAAATCCTTCTCGAGACAGAGTAAACTAACGCTTAGTGTACTTTAGAGAAAAAAAACCAAGTGAATGGAAAACCCGGTGATTGTGTTACGCTCGACGTCGCAATGTTATCCTTTGGGGGACAAAGAAAGACGTGCAAATGATCACACCGCCTTGGTGTGACCGAGGTGTTTCCGCGTGGGTATCGACCTATCAGCAGAGCCTCGAGCTACGGCAATCTATTAATTGTTGGAAAAATCCGACAACACACGCAGACCACTTTGTCATTACGGCAAAGCGCCACTCCGAACGCGGAGTTGTAAATATGAAGGGAGAGAAAAAAAACGCTCCCTCCTGCAGTGGCGCGTTTCAATTAGAATCTGAGCAGTCACAACGACCTTTTGACTAAAAATAATTTGCCGTGCAAATTGAGTCAAACAGCCGCTTTCTGATAGAATCGTAATATGTGTTGGATGAAAAAAAAGTTACAGCATAAGAAGGGCAATGTCACCTTAACTCCCTGTCCTTTTTTTGCAAGAATCATGGCTGCGTTCACTACTATGACCGAAAACATTGATGTTCAATAGTAGTACTGTTATATTATAGTATTAAGCAACAATCTATGGAAAGCCATAGTATACATTCAGATCTCTTGTGAAAACTGCGGATTCTTCCGTTGACAAATTTCTTCTTAAAATTTGTAATAGCCCGCCTTCTTCCGTCTGAAAAACAATAACATCACGCAGCACCCAATCGCATTTAACAAATATAACATAGTAAAACTATAACAACAGTAAAAAAATCACAAATCACTTATGGAGTACGATATTACAAAATACAACGACCCCCCATATAGCCTTTCACAGACTCGGGGCAAGTGCAATTGAAGCAGGCAGAGTGAGGCAAGCACCAGGCCCTGCTGCCTTTGTCTCTCAAATGCTGTGGGCACGATGAACCAGATACTAAAATAATATATATATTACATTAATCTTATCTCATGATTATAAAATAATATATTAATCTCATGATTATTTGGTATAAGTCAATGGATTCATGCTCTGATTGATGAATTACTTTCATATCTCAGTGGGTTTCCTGCCTGTTGGAGGATGGGTTTATGGCGCATCACCACTTTAACATTTCCGCGGTTTAATAAATAAAAAATAAAATAAAGAGATGGCCTAATGATAAATCCTCTATTTACGTTGCTCCTATCTACGTTGATTCCATCTAAAGTTGCCAACGAATTATAGGCAACGTATTAATGCTCTGAATCACGACAACGTTGTTTTGAAAACGTGAAAAGAACCGCAGGACACACAGTGGCACAGCGCCTCCTAGCGGGCGCTCAACCCTCGGCAGTGTTTATAACATTCGCCATCCTCTAAACTCCCCAAACTAAATTTATTTGACCAGGTAAGGCCCACTGAGCTACGATGTAGATATTTTTCAGAAGCGACCTGACCATCACAAATGACAGCTCAATTAAGTGGCTTATCACCATGTGGAAATGTATAGCAACCAAATACTTCAAACACTTGATTCTAAACAGGCGTCGGGGCCGGGATCGAACCCACGACCCCCTGTATACCAGGCGAGGTAGTTAACATCTCCTTACCGCGGCACCCCTTCAGCTCCCCTTCACCCCATACCAGATTACTCAATGTAATATTCGCCACCGACTCTGGCGAGGACTCTGTTCAAACTTACATTAACTATTTAAACTTTTCACGTAACTTCTTCCTGGATATCTTTTGTTATCTTTTTTGGTACTAATTTCATTTTTATGCAAATTTTGACCAAAGAATTATCCACAGGAACGCATGCTAAATTGATATCGTGAAGTCAGTGGTAACATCGGTAAAGAGAGGACTGACCATGATGGCTTCGGTTCTCACGTTTACAATATTGGGCACCCTGGTCGTTGACTGGATGGGCTGCGGAGCGTTCGCGTGGATTTTTTTTTGGACAATAAAAAAATACTGACCTAGAACAATCTTGCCCACTCCAGCTTGGCAGACACTGGCACCGACTGGGGCCGACACACTTGCCGCCGTGCAGACAAGGCTTTCGACACACAGCTGCTGGAAAAATTGGAGCGAGTCAGTGCACATGCGGTACAGTACTTATGGAATGCGTTGGAACATTGCCACGATGTCCAAAAACGTAAAGGAAAGGGATTTCAACAATTCATTGCAACTTGCCATAGGAACAATTAGCTAAACACTACACCGATGTTTTTCCAGCAGTTATTTATTTGTTTAAGAAGGAAAACAAAAAAAATGGGATCACTTTCAACTTCCTCAAAATTGAGCCACGGTTTTCCAGCTTAAGCAAATGACGCTAGAAAACATTGGTCCAGAATGTCCGTAGGCTGATTGAACGATATAATATTTTACGCTATTTCTAGTGGTGTAAGGGACGCGTGTGTGTGTTTATTTCTTCTTGTAATAAAGCACAGTCCACCGTCACAGGACATACTAGATTTAGGGGTTTTTTTTAATGCACCGTGAATAATTTCCATTTGAAAAAAATACTAACTCCGACCGCTAATGCTCTTATGCACATGACATTGAAGCGAGCAGGGATAATTCATCCCCGACACTTCTTTTAGCCCTGAATAAAAACAGAGATAACGGATTGAAGCGTGTCGCTTATCATAACATTTAAAGATGGGCAAATTCCTGGAATCTGTGAGTCCATTCTTACACTCAAATACGAATGTGATCGTATAGGCAGAGCGGCTATGCGCGTGTGTGTGTGTAGTTTACAAATAGGGAAGATTCGTGTACATACAGCCTTGGGTATAGTCTAGCATTTACACTCGGCAGTTACGCATATGTATCCATGGCTATAGCCTAGCGTATTCACAGGGCAACTGTTGGTATACTTAGCACTGGCATTAGCCTAGCGTTTAGACGTGGCAGCTGTGTACGTACGTACGCCTTGGCTATACACTTAGCTTCTCTGTGCATGGATGGAATCAGGGCAATTCCAGGCACCAGGCATTGGCAATTTCGAAGGAAGTTCAACGTACATACATTTTTTAAATGGCAATTATGGCCACTCAGAATCATCTAGAATGACCAAAAATTGATAGAAACATCGATGGTAAGCTAAGCTACTACACATAGCCGAAGCTTATCTGAACTAGATTCACAATATAATTGCAATGGAAACACCTATTCTTCTTTGGCAGAATATCGGTTAAAATCCCATTTCATTTCTGTTTCAGGCTTTGACAGCGGTGCTGATTCTTACCGAATATTATATTCGGGTTGGTTGAGTAGGAGTCGAGCCCAAACTAATAACCCAATTTGCAATAACCCAAATGTACTAAAAGAATTTGTTTTACCATTGGAATCATCCATAGGAGAAGAGAAGAATGATGCCTGCAGCAGTCAACCAAGGTAGGTAGAATCAGAGAGATTGACTATGATTCCTGCAGCATCGGCCATGATGACACCCGGACCGTGACTTTGAGCATCATGCACAATGTGATCTATAAATGGTTTCTTTTGGGGTTAGATCATGTAGTGTATGGTGGATCTTTTTTTACATTAACCCTCCACCACCCGACAGAGCTAAACGTAACAAGTTGTCACGTCACGTGCAAATATGCCGTAAAGCTTCACTGGATACATTTTATTTGACGGTTCGCTGGAGATTACATCCAGCATCAATCTTCATCAAAACTTAGTACAGTGTTCCCTTGTTAGGCACGAACTTGCTACCCGCGATTTTGGCTGTCCGCGAATTGCATCTGGAACGCTGCACGACTACTGCATCGACAGAGAGAAAGAAAGCGATGAGATCAAGTTGCGAGAGAGAACGTGATGACGTTTCCATAGTCTGGTGCGGGTGGCTGCAGTCACGCCGTGGGGTGTCTCTAATTCTCCACTTGCGGGGGAGGAGGAAGTGTGGGCGCCAGCGACCATTTGCTGTTCTGAAGCTGTTGATGTGGCTTGTTTTATAAATCGTGCATATTACCAACAGTGAGACCACATAATAATTTCAGTCCATCAGCCTGTGGGTCTTCCACGTTTCCCAGCAGCATTTGGTTAAGCAGCCAAACTCTGGACCAGTTTCAACTTTCGTGAATCTCATCAAATGAGTGAGGCCCGTTAAAACAATTGCCGCCGGGTTGCGCAATGTTATTGGCAGTCGCGCTCCACGAAACACCGTGGGGGGCCCGCGCAGTGCGAAGCGGCGTAAGTGTGCGATACGTTACGGCGCGATTTTACAACCGCGCGAGCAAATGGGCAACACCGCTGGGAGCACTCACCGAGGTGGCAACGCGAGCCCTGCCAGCCGTCCGGACACTCGCACTGGTAGGGTGCCTTGCACCGTCCTCCGTTCAGGCACGGCAGGATGCAGATCGCTAACATCACGAGGGGAGACAGGACAATTAGGGAGGATGGGATGCCGCTCGTGGGTTCCAACCCGGGCCCGCATGTCACAGGATGTACAACTATCATCAAGTGGGAGACAAGCAGGCGATAATCAGTAGATCAGAGAAGCAATTGAGACGAGAGCGAGAGAGATTAAAACAACTTAAAGGGAGCGAATGTTTTATAAAGTGCTGCATGGAGACACCATCATCATTACATTCTTAAATACAATTTCAGTACTAGATGTTTAAACTATACTACGGAAATACCCCGGTCTTACGTCGGGGATGCGTTCCTGAAAGGTGCGAAGACGAATATCGAAACGACGTGAATGGAAGCGATGTACAGGTGGGGTAGGCGGCGGTGGTGGTGGTGGTGGCGGTGGTGGTGGTGGTGGCGGCGGTGGTGGTGGTGGCGGTGGTGGCGGTGGTGGTGGTGGTAGTGGTGGTGGTGGTAGTGGTGGTGGTGGCGGTGGTGGTGGCGGTGGTGGTGAAGGCTGAGAGGCAACGGATAACGAGGACGGACGTACGACGATGCCGACAGCGACGTGAGCGTGGGGTTGAGGCGACGCAAATCACGAGCTAGTAGCGGTGTTAACAATAATAACAGAGTAAGGACGTGTTTGTGAAATGACGTCAAAGGGGGAGACATAAATATGGGTACTGCTGCACAAAGCTACACTCAATTACAAATCAACAGACCCATCACAACTAATACATGTGTGTGTAACCTGACATGCAGCACAATTGGCATCAATGTCAATTAATTCCTTTGAATTTAAGAAACACCTTTAAAAAAAATGTCTGGCTGTGGAATAATTAGCGCTGTAATGCGTGTTTCACACAAGATTTCACACGTGCCCACATTTGTCCTGGTTTGGACATGTGCATTGAAGCCTGCTGCTGCCTTTCAAGATGTACTGTGAATGGATAAGTGGTTGATTAGCTCGGTCTAATTTAAAGATTTACAGTGCTTATAATGTGAGCAGTAGCAGCATAGCGGTTATCGCTCTGCCCTGTGAACCCGGAGACTCTAGTTTGAATCCCAGCCATAGCTCACGTCAGCGGTGAGTGATAACACCGTATCTGAAGTAGTTCTGGCTCGCCCCCATCTGTGATTTAAGTACCCCCATGACTAACACAACATGGGGAGGGCTTCATCCAGCATTATATTAACAAATGGTTGCGAATTATTATTATTCTCTATGAGTCATTCTCACATTAACTGGAGTGTTTGTGTTACGTTCTCGTACATATGATTAATAACTAATTTATTTGGGTTAAATCATGTCGTATATCGTTTTTTTTTACTATAACTAGGCCGATATAGCCAATCAAATATGGCAATTGATCTGGTTTTTATAAAACCAGAATGCAGGAGCACAAGCATATTTATTTTTGTTTAATTTGATTAGCTCTGCTGGGTGGTTGAGGGTTGTGTACGTCATCGGTTTTTCTTTCGAACCAGAAGAAAAAATAAAATAACTTTACCGGTACCGAGGCTCCCACAATGCCATGCGGGAGGGTGTGTGGCACAGTTTGACGCCAGCTATCGCAGAGTGCGGTCGTGTCGCTGGAGTTCTCTGCGGTGAATACAATGTCTTTATAACCAACGGCACTATGGCTCTTTAAAATTAAAAACAAATTTGGCTGAACTGCTTGTGCGTTCCGAGATTCGGCGGTGAACGGGACCCCACCCTGCAACTTGCAGACTTCTCAGAATGGGAGAGGGTTCAAAAGAATGACGTACCTACACAATCTGACCCAATTGAAGCTACTTATGCGATATTGGTCGCGAGAGCCCCCAATAAGAACGGCCCCTCGTATGCGGTGCATTATCGCATCGGTACTTACGTTCCTCACAGAGTAGCCCCATCCAGCCCTCGGCACAGAAACACGAATTGGGCCTCAGGCACAATCCTCCATTCTGGCAGGGGAACCTGCAAACAGCTGCACAGCGAACACCGCCATCAAATGAACGGGATGGAATGTACGTGTGTGTTGAACTTATTTCGCACCGTACGTAGCCAACCGTGTTAATTGGAGGTGCGGGGGAAGAACAACAAACTAGACACAAACAGCAGTTATAAATAAATGAGGTTTCAATCTGGATTATTTAAAAGTGCATAGCTCCAGTAGCTTCCTAATATCGGAAGGAAGAACATTCCAGACGGCAGCCAAAGCGCATCTGAAAGCGCCACGCAATGCAGGGACCGCATCGCATGGCTATTCATTCGAATCATTTAGTTCAAACGCTCGCACGCGGTCTTCGCGTCGTCTTCATAGACGCGACGCTACCACGACTGCGCTAAGCCATTCAGAACTTGACTCTGTATGGGAGAGAGTGTTGCCGCCCGCCAAAAAAACACGCAAAGTCAACGATTTAGAGGGACGGGAAACCACAAACAATCGGGAAGCCAGCCAGGACTGGCACTACCAACAATTGCCCACGCTCTGTGGATGTTGAGACAACTCTTCGCGGAGTGTTTATACGTGTGGAAGGAAAACAAAGTACCTACACCAGTTGTATCATATGGCCCACCAGAAACTATAGCTGTAGAGGAATCCTCATGGGTTTGATTAAACGGCTGGAGACATACCTTTGCAAGAAGGCTGCAGGCTCCAGGTTGAATTTTGCAGGCAGAAGCTGCGGCTTGGCCCGTCCAGCATGTAGCCGCTGTAGCACGAGTAGGTAATCATGTCCCCGTATTGATAGTACATGCCACGCATTATGGCATTCATCACTGGCACCGGGGTTCCACAGTAGACTCCTACAATAACATGTGCAGCAATACCAAGACATGTAACAGCATGGTGTCACAATACGGGGAGTGGTGGCGCAGTGGGTAGTTAACTGCGCTATGAACTCACACACCTGTGTTTGATTCCCAGCCACGGTTAGCAGCAGTGGTGATAATTGAAGCAGGCTTAATAAATGAAGTAGGTTTGGGAGCAGTGGTGGCAAGATGTTAACTACCTCGCCTGGTATACAGGAGGTTGTGCGTTTGATCCCGATCCTGACAATGTCTGTATATTTGGAGTTTGCGTCTTTCTCTCTCTCCCCGTGGTGGCGTGGATTTTTCTCCACATATAGAAACTTGCATTTAGAGCATTTTGGCTGCGATAAATGTCCAGGTGATATGCTGCTTCGTCGAGCTATTATTTGCGATAGCCAGGTCGCTCTGAAAAAGAGCTTTCTAGCAGCTCAGTGGACTTTACCTGGTAAAATAAAAAATTATAGTTGAGTGTTGAAGTTTGGGGGCAAACAACACCCATGACACCGACATTGATTAGGGCGACATTAAATCCAGCAGTGGATTAACAAAGCGCTGCGCATTCAACAATTGCTACCAATTGAGCACGGAGCATTGCCAATCTCTATTCGCAGCATTAGTCCAGTGTTGACAATCCACGTTCGTATGACAAGGGGCGGGATAACCACCATCTTCACACAGTGGTACCTATTTTATAGGAAAATATTTATGATAGACCGAGCTGACCCCTGAATGGGATCTGAACTTGCAACCTTCCGATTGCACGATTGTAAACTCATTCTGGGTTTAGGATCGTAAGTATTTCTTAAATTAAATGTTTACGGTTGCTTCACGCATAAACAGAATGTGCTTCATACGTTTCTCGGCTCTTCTGCCTTTCCCTTGCATCAGCTTCCGCGACGATGGGGCCGCATGAAGGCCCCCCACCGCTGTCCGTTCCGCACTAATTCTCTCGCGCTGTTCACGCTTAACCCTTTCTGCTCCATATCCACGTCTTCAGTGTGTCTCCCTACCCAGCTCACTGGTGCCCCAACCTCTACCCCTCGTCCTTGCTAATCTGGAATGCATTCTCAAACCGATTTCCTCAATTTTCTCCGGCGTTATTTTTTTGCACCAGTATCTTTCAAAGCGCCCACCCCCCCCTCCGCTTTAGTGTTCTCTTGCCAGCAGTAGTTCTCTCCCAGGCTCTGAAAGTTACTAAAGTACCCAGTGCGACAGACACGCAGACCTTCACCTCCGATTAGCACGGTTGGCTACGGACGTCGCGAACGAAACACATTCACACGTGGACACAAACGAAACGACCTCATACAATGGTCCCTCGGGTAACAATATTAATTGGTTCCACGAAAACCATCGTTAAATTAAGTTATCGTTAATTGAATACGGGAAATGCATTTTACACGCTAAATTAGCTCCAAGATGATTGTAAGTTGACCTTTTTCACTCTAAAAACTTAGTTTATAACATTTAAACACGCAATTTTAATAAATAAACTTATACGAACATATTAAAGCGTTCATATAAACGTGGATAGATAGATAATGAAAGAATAGAAAATATAATACAGATTCTTACCTTAGGCTAAGAAGATGGTTGGCTTAAAGGCCGTCGCTGATTGACCGAGGTCTGCTGAGTCCCCTTGGGAGCGCTTCGATTGACCGAAATTGGCGGCCGCGTGACATCGTAACGATATCGTTAATCGAAAATGCATCGTTAAGAGAAACAATAGGGGGGCCCCTATGGGAGGCGGGTCATTAATCGAAATATCGTTAATCGAGGGACCACCGCAATGTGGATGCGTGCACGTGCGTGCGGGTGAAACTAAAAAGCGACACTTACTGACGCACGCCGGTTGAGCGACGCTCCATTCACCGGTCCCGGTGCAAGAGCTCCGCTTGGACCCCTCCAGCCGATATCCCTCGTCGCACACAAACTCAACCGCGCTGCCGGCCACGAAGCTGGATCGAGCATTTGCCGCGTGCGCGCCAGCATCGCCGCGCCCGACCCGGACCGATCTGCCGTTGGTGATCGGCCGAGGGGGTTCACAGGACTGTTCTGCACAACGCAACGGCACGAAAGAGAAACAAAAATGTTCACCGTGATAACTACGCTGCCTTTTAAATTACACCTGCTGCACTAGACCGTGTACATATGTTGAACTTCTTTCGCGACGTACGTATTCAACCGTTGATCATCCGGAGTCGGAGGTGCAGGGGAAGGACAACAAACTGAACACAAAAGCAGTTATTAAAAATTTGTTTCCAATTAAGACTTAACTGTGCGTAGCTCCAGTGGCTTCCTAATATCGGAAGGAAGAGCGTTCCTGACGGCCACAGAAGCGCATCAGATGGGAGCATGTTTTTCAGACCATCTGAGATACATGCACGCTTACAGGATAGGAGTCAGGCTTGTAAAGAGGATGGGACCCATTCCTGAATGACCCATTTAAACCACCCTCAACATCTGAATTCCTCGGGCCCAGTGTCACCAGGACGCAGGCCTTGTTGACTGTGTGACATCGGCCCCCCAGTTCAACACGTGGCATGGCGTGGCTCCTATCCCTACCACATGTCCACCACTCCTCCTGCCCCCCTCCACCGATGTGTTTATTTTAGGAAAATATCAACGAACCCAGTAAAGTCACAACAATGAGCTCTGTAAATAAGGAGGCGTTATGACCCGTGTCACTGGACTGTATGTTTATAATTGGAATGTAATTTAAGAAAATATAAAAATATGTATAAATACAATTGCTAGTTTAGTTTATACATGTTCATCATAATCTGTCCCTTCCGTTCAGCGATGATGGGGCTGAATTAAATTCCATCACGGTTTTTTTTCTTTCACCAGCATCACTGCTACCCTCAGTCTCAATCATTGATCTTCAAGATCTTCAAGATCTTCCACCCCTGAGCCTATACCCCCCCCCCCCACCCCGTTCTCTGTCTTCCCTTGCTTAGGCGCAGCACCGCCAAATCCGGCCTCATTCTCATAACGTGTCCACGCCACTTGCAGTCTTTACAACCTGACTCAGATTTTCTTTCTGCTGGCAATGCTCATTGAGCCAAATAGTTCTTATACAAGAATGACCCCCACGTGGCCTTAACAGAATGTTGGGGCAAGTGCTGTTAGCGAGCACCTATGAAGGCCGGTACGGCACACTATGCGGTGGGTGGCCAGCACCACACCCAGTGATGATGTTTACACACTGCACCAGGTACTCATTTGAGACTGAGTCGACCTAGGGGAGGCCCAAGACTGGTTCAGATTTTGGTCACCGGTGTTGGTGGCCGTGAGCGAGAATCCAACTCGGGTCGCCGGCTCCATAGCGCAGTGCTCACGGCCGCACGACCGCTCGCCACGACCAATGAACGCGGTCCGACGCGCCTACTCACAACACAACCCGCCTCGAAGATGAACGTGAAAACAACATCTTCGAGAAATAGACAACGCGCGCCAACGACGGCGGACGTCGCGGTCGCGCATGCCACAGCGACTGACCAACGCAGGCGGGCGGTGTGCCACTCCACTCCTGGCTGGGCAAGCAACTTCGATTGCGGGCGCCATGCAGGACGTAGCCGGCGTCGCACTCGTAGCGGACGACGCCTCCCAGGGAGTAGGAGGCTGCCACGATGAAGCCGTGGGGAGGCGCGGAGGGCGGTGGGCAGGACGCGGCCACGCACGCGGGGCTGCCTGCGCTCCAGGAGCCGTTGCTCAGGCAGGAGAGCTGAGCTGGGCCCTGCGAGACGAACGCCGCAAGTCGGATTCGTATAAGAATGGATGTCTCACCCTTTCTGGCAATAAAACAGGAGGTGTTGAGATGTTGAAGCACCAAACAGAAACCTTTTACAAGGAATTATGGACTGCATTAACCACACGTACTTGTGGTGAACATGCAAACAAAAACATGCTCCGGTAATGTGATGCATTTTCTTTGAAACTTTATTGGTCCACAGAGACCCAGCAACTTATGTAGAGACAGGTTCAGACAGAGACCCAGAGGCTTCGTCTTCCTGCTTGTTTGGGCAATGGGGTGACATCTCCAACGGAGGCCCTGATCCGGTGATGGAAATTCCACATTCCTATGCCAGGGATCAGTCTTCCCATCCTTACTACAGTGGACTTCCCACACAGTGCTACTCATCGTCAAAAGCTGAAGTCGGCCCCAGACTGGGTGTGAACCCACGTGTTCCTGAATTTTGATCAATCTCCTGATCCAAAGCGCCAACTCCCGCTAAATCAATGCAGCGTAACGGTAGAGGCACAGCCCTGCAATAGCTTGCTGACGCCTCTGCTGGCGGAAGCGTCTCCACTAGGGGCAGCTCGAGAGAGCCTCCCCACAGCGCACTTTGACCAACTCCTTCCACGCTGGGCAGCTACCTTGGAAGAGGTGGGGGTACCCACACTTGACCCCACTGCACGCAATTCACCTATCAACTGTGCAGCACCCGTGGCATACTGCCGGCTGAAAGGAGGTTGAGAGAGGGGCTTAAGACACATGCACCATCGCTTCAACTGCTGCAACTGCAACTCAAACGCCAAAATGGCGTGTTAATATGCAAAGGCAAATTAAAAACTGTTGATCGGGTGACATTTTTTTAATGTAAATCTCATCAGCCCCCGTGGTGTAAAGTGGAGTCTCAAGCCTGGCTATCCACTCCACCTCTCTGCCATCTCTTTCTGTGTGCTGTGAAGAACGGACATTGCCCTGAAATGTCACATATTTTAGATTGTTTTTCTTATTGACAAATGCGTGGAGTTTTTTGTTGTTGTTGATTGTGTTTGCGCTTAGCGGTGCAGTAGCATCGTAGCATAATTTCTCCTGTTGTGTTGATCATTTTTTTAAAAATCTATTTTTATTTTACCAAGTAAGGCAGCTGTTTCTGAACATGCGTCGCAACACTGCGACAGCGGTTTTGTTGAATTGAACGACGAGTTTCGTGAGAATGAAGGAGAGTCACACGGTGACGGCTGCTGCTGATTATCACAATTCTCATTTTCCTTTCACCTCCAACGCGTATCCTTGGCGGCACGAGAAGGTGACCACACTGCCAAACGTAAGCCCGGGCCCGTCCGCCGAGCCGTGAGCGGGGACATTTGGTCTCCCGCAGCTCACAGGTTCGCAGGAAATTCCTGACAGAGGCGGAGACCAAACTCCATCATCCTGCGACAAAAGCACAAACGTCAAGAAATTAAACGCTCGTGCGCACACGCGCCCTAGGGGGGTGTTGTTTTGCCCAGCGGTGCGTAATGGTTAGCACGTGGCACTCGCGATCGGCAAGCCGCCGGTTTGATTCCGTCTCCAGGTGCGGGAGTTGAAACAATCGTGTAAGTTGTACGTGTGTACGTTGAACTTCTTTCGCACCGTACGTAGCCCACCGTGATAATCGGAGGTGCGGGGAAAGGACAATAAAGTAAACACAAAAATCCGTTCTGAAAAAAAGAGTTTTCAATCCAGATTTAAAAGTGCGTAGCTCCTGTGGCTTCCGAATATGGGAAGGAAGAGCGTTCCAGACGGCTGCAGATAAGCGCATCTGAAAGCGCGCGATTAGAAGTGACATAACCCCCCGCCCTCCACAATACCTCTGCCCAGCCAGCAGTACAAATGGGGAAGCACAGCAGTCAGCCAATCGGCAAATCATCGTGTGGTGGGGTAAAGTGTGGGTACCCCCACCTCTTCCAAGACGTCTGGCCGGCGTGGAAGGGTAGGCCAAGTACGACTCCAAATGGGCTCTCTGGAGCTGCCTCTCAGGAGAGCCTCTTCTGCGAGCAGTGGCGTGAGAAAGCAATTGCAGGGCTGCGCCTTGACCTTCACGAATGCACTACCATACAGTACTTCAAATGGATACACTACACAGCAAACTAGAACACGAGGGGTTAGGTTGAAGTGTGTTCCATTTGCGTGTGCTTTTTGCGTGATAAACTCTCAATCGCCAACAGTGTTGTAAATTACCAAGGGTGTATATTTTGGCTGGGGATATAAATACTTTGAAGTAACAGCATTGAGTTTCAAGCAGTGCACAGTAGGGCACTATTCTGAAGTCGCAAACTGTTATTAAATCGTCATGTCAGAGTTTTTGCACATCCAACGCCACACAGACAAAGCATTGAAACATTATAATCACCACGCCATGAGTCCAATGTGCCAATGTGTTGACACTCGATATTTACTCATTACATTTTGAAGGCCAATTACAGAGGACAATCTTGGCTGGCTCTAGAAGGCACTCCGATATGACCGTATCGACGATGGGCGGTGCTGGGGCACGCCTGTAACCCAGCACTGATTATTGCGATTAGCTACGTACTGTGCAGAAGAAGATCAACATTGGTACATACACTGTGGAGGCAGCACGAATGTTACTCTGGCACGCCAGCAGAAGGCAGTACAGAAAGCGTGGACTAATCACCATCCGTCTCTTCTGTATCCGTGTATGTTGAACTTCTTTCGCACCGTACATCGCCGACCGTGCTACTCGAAGGTGTGTGGGATAGAGTGTTGCTTCCTCGCACGCGTTGATTTTCTCCGGGCGCTTTGGTTTCCTCCCGCATGTAAACACTCATCGATCGGTTGATAACACCTTGGCGTATAGAGAACCGCAGAGCTTAGGGGGAGATTTGTCGCCGGCTCACCGCCTGGCTACTGCTGCCTGTGGTTCCTCCTCGTGCCTCCGGTCTCTCTCTGTCTTCGCGAGCGAGGAGCGAATGTGGTGGTGCGGCGCTTTACAGATTTAAATTGCCGCTATTAATATTATCATGGATTTTTGGGTTCTGTTTGGTTACATTATTTTCCCCTTTCTGCCATCTTCTTCCCCCCCCCGCCCTCTTATATTCACTGCTCCCAATCGTTACCCCCCCCTCTCCGATCGTTACCCCACCAATCGTTACCCCCCCCCCCCCACCAATTCTTACCCCCACCGTGGTAACGCAGCGAGCCTTCGTTCGTGCCCTCATTGTCTGAGGCTGCATTACGCCCGCCCGGCTTTCTTATCAACGTTATCGGTTGTCTTTTTTATGACGGTAAAAAAAAATACTTTAAAAAAATTATTATCACGTGAAATAAGTGACAGGGGGATAATGGTTGAAGTGATGGCAATGGAGGTGATGGCATCCTCTGTTGTTCTGTAATTACTCACTCATCACTCAAACCAATGCACCCCGAAGGCTTCTCTTATTCTCAGAAGCATCAACATTTTACCCAAGTACATCTTCTTCTTTTATCAAAAATCAGCTCAGTATTTATAATGAAGATTCCATCACCCGTGACAGATTTTTCAAGAAAGCTTAGACGGACCCCCGAGTGCCTGGTGACCGTTCCTGCATCGAGAACTCGGGCCCGGTTTCACGGCCTGCTCGTGCGTGGCAGACTCAGAATGTCATCGAGTGTAACAAATGAACTAAAATAAAACTCTTAATATTCCACTATTATCCATAAGAGAGGTTTTGTTGTTGTTGTGAGATCACGTAAATATAAATGTGTCGTTAAACCCGCCACCACCCGACACACGCCAATCAGTAGGGTTTGTCACGTATAAAAAACATGCCAATTCGTTACTAGTTCAGCACTACACCGCATGTGTGTTGGAGAGTAAACCCACTACAACATTAACAATTCGAGTACCGTGCATGACCTTTTGTCGGTAATTACAACAACAACAACAACCAGTCTCATCAGGCGACAGCCACAGTTGTGTAGAAATTCTCCCGTTTCGGTCTTGAACTTCACTAAGGCTGTGTCGGGTGGTGGCGGGTTTCACCACACATTTATATTTAAGCGATTTAACCCGCAAAAAAAAACTCTGTATGGATAATATTGGTCGTGAAAGTCTGCCACGTGTTACACATTCCACATTTACGTCTCTAGCCGTGCGTGTGTGTTATCCCCTCTTGCCACGATGGTGAACGCTCCAACGAATCTCCGTTATGTCGCTCAAACTAATCTCCCGTGATGTCGCTCCAACGAATCTCCGTTATGTCTGAGGATGTACCGACGGTTTATTTACACGAACGCCTGTGACAGGATTTTTGATGGCCGTTTTATTTGTCGCTGAACACTACTTTATTTTATTATTGTATTATTATATTACTTTATTATGTTTTATTTTTATTATTTTATTATTTCCCTTCTACGTGACTTTACCGAAAGAACCAAGAAGATGAATCCCTGCAGTCACGAAAGCTTTAAATCGAAACGAAACTACTTTATTTATTTATTGTCTGTCCTGTTTGCTTGGAAGTTCTGGCGTGGGTTTCGCGTGAAAGTTTGTTGTTACTTTTGCCCTGGTTAATTTGCACATTGCGCTACCCTGCGATGCCCGGGTAGGATGGGGATGGTTTCGTGTTGTATCTGTTTGTGTTTGGGGGATTTGTTTATGCTTTTGTACTTTGCACTGCTATCGTGTGTTTGTATTGGTTGTTTTTGTAACGTTCTTACCCACATCTACTCTGAAAAATAAATATTCTTATTCTGAACTGTTGACACTGCCAATGGCCTTGGGCTATGGTCTGAGTCTCTATGTAACTCTAAGGCTCTCTATTTAACTCTGTGCGTTTCTGTGTAACTCTATGGCTCTCTATTTAACTCTGTGCGTTTCTGTGTAACTCTATGGCTCTCAATGTAACTCTGTGCGTTTCTGTGTAACTCTATGGCTCTCTATTTAACTCTGTGCGTTTCTATGTAACTCTATGGCTCTCTATTTAACTCTGTGCGTTTCTGTGTAACTCTATGGCTCTCTATGTAACTCTGTGCGTTTCTGTGTGACTCTATGGCTCTTTAATTAACTCTGTGCGTTTCTGTGTAACTCTATGGCTCTCTATTTAACTCTGTGCGTGTCTGTGTAACTCTATGGCTCTCTATGTAACTCTGTGCGTTTCTGTGTAACTCTATGGCTCTCTATTTAACTCTGTGCGTTTCTGTGTAACTCTATGGCTCTCTATGTAACTCTGTGCGTTTCTGTGTAACTCTATGGCTCTCTATTTAACTCTGTGCGATTCTGTGTAACTCTATGGCTCTCTATTTAACTCTGTGCGTTTCTGTGTAACTCTATGGCTCTCTATTTAACTCTGTGCGTGTCTGTGTAACTCTATGGCTCTCTATGTAACTCTGTGCGTTTCTGTGTAACTCTATGGCTCTCTATTTAACTCTGTGCGTTTCTATGTAACTCTATGGCTCTCTATTTGACTATGTGCGTTTCTGTGTAACTCTATGGCTCTCTATTTAACTCTGTGCGTTTCTGTGTAACTCTATGGCTCTCTATTTAACTCTGAGCGTTTCTGTGTAACTCTATGGCTCTCTATTTAACTCTGTGCGTTTCTGTGTAACTCTATGGCTCTCTATTTAACTCTGAGCGTTTCTGTGTAACTCTATGTAACTCTATGTGACTGCAATGTCATGTAGCTGCCGTCCCTGCCGATGATATTGGGCTGTGGTCGACCGTGTAACAAAGCCGCTTCGCTCAGTAGGGCCTCCCCAGCTGAAATAATAAAGCCCGAGTCTGAATGAGGAATTTGTACCACTTGGTCGAGGGTTCGTCAAATTTAAATCAGCACTGCCCTACATTATTTTGAGTTGGGATACTGCATTCGAGCGTTTGCGTATGAACTTTGTACGGCCTTCCGCCCTGCAAGATGATCATGTACGAAATAAACTGAAACATCTGATTCTGTTGCTATTGGGGGACTTACTCTATTGAAAAAATGTGAAATTGATCAAATAATATTTCCCTAAACTTGGTGACAGAATCCAGACGAACAGAGACAACGTTCACATCTGCCAACTCACTAAATGCGCAGGCCTGCAGTTGCTCGCTCTCGCCCCTGCTGGCGGAAGGGTCTCCGTTAGAGGGAGCTCGAGAGAGAGAGAGACCCGTGATGGAAGGTGTTTTGGCCTACTCTTAACACGCTGGCCAGACATCCTGGAAGAGGTGAGTGTAGCCACACATTACCGCACCACACGTTACCCCACGACATGTTACCCCACCACGTGTTACCCCACCACGCGTTACCCCACCACACGTTACCCCACCACACGTGACCTGCTGACCGACTAACTGTGGTGCAGCTCTTTCTACTGCTGAGCACACAAAAGCGGGCAGCTTGCACAGTTTTCTCTGCATCCGGTTTTTCCCTCCACATTTTGAATCAACACGCGAATAGAGTATTTGGCTGCTATACATTTCCATGTGATAAGCCACTTCGTTGATCTATCATTTAGGGCCAAGTTGCTTCTGAAAAAAAGGAGCTATACAGCTCAGTGAGCCATACCTGGTAAAATAAAAATTGATCAAATGAAATAAAATGGTTTCTGTACTGAATATTCAATGCGTCCCAAGACAAACGCACGTTGGAACGCTTCTGAAAAAGAGCTATGTAGCTCAGTGGGCTCTACCCTTTTAAAATAATAGTTAAAATACAAATTCTCTGCCGTACTGCCCATGAAATGCGTGCGAAGACAAGTGCGCGCGTTGGAGCGCAATCCCGTGGCGGCACGACTTGCGAACCCGGCCTTGCGACGTCTCACCCGGCACGTGGAGACCCCTTCTCCGGCGGCGAGGCGGTAGCCCTCGCGGCAGCCGATGCGCACCGAGCTGTTGACGGTGAACGCGTCGCCCCGGACGAGCGCGTGGGGGGGTCGGGGGGGCGGTCCGCACGAGCGCAGGGCGCAGGTGATGGGGTTGGCACTCCACGAGCCGTTGCTCAGGCACGTGCGCCAGTCCACGTCCTCCGCCAGACGAAAGCCTTTGGCGCATCTGACACGGCGTTCGTCACCAAGTTGCGGGCGTGCGTACGCTACGTGCGGTGCGTTCTCCCGTACCGCGGCGGTAGTTACGTTGCCGAAGAGCGCCGCGTTATCAAAGCAATATAGGGTACGGCACGGTCTGTGATAACGCGTGAGACGCGTACGTCCCGTGCGACCATGTTACGCCGAGGCAGTCATACAACCGCTTATTCCTACTCGCGCGACGTAGTTCCGGTCACTCGATCTTGTTGTATCCAATTTGCATCCGCGTTATAAATAATGCGTTCCCTAATACATTCATCGCGTTATAGCCAATTCGCGTTCCAAAAAACACACGACGTTCTCGGAGAACAGACTGCATGTTGAACTTCTTTCGCGCCATACTTAGCCAATTGTGGTAATCGGAGGTGGCCGCCACGTTTTATGGCAAATGCAATCCGTAACTCGATGTCTAAGAGCGCGTCGTGGTCCAGCGTCGCTGATCCGACTCGCTGGGGTATTGAGGGGGTAGGCGGACGAGTGAAAATGTCGGATGTGTGAACGTCTTCAGACAATGTGCAGCTACGCCGAGCACAAACATGTTACTGGACAAAAATAAAGCGCAAACCGTTTCTCCCTCCACATTAAGGAAAACACGCGTTTAGAGTATTTGGCTGCTGTAAATTTCCACACGATCAGCCACTTCGTTGAGCTGTCGTTTGTGATAGCCAGGTCACTTCTGACCGAGAGCTGTACAGCACAGCGGGCTTACCTGGTAACCGCGGAGTCGTTCCCGTAAAGCGGCCTAGGGCTGAATGATTCTTTTGCCGGCGTCAACAAATTAAATCAATCAATCAATGAGATTGTGAACACATGACTGCGCGTGAGAAGATTGGAGACGTGAACGTCCACTGAGAGCGAATGTAGCTGGGACGGGGCGGGTAATTGGTCGAGGATATCTGACGGTCGGCTATGCGACGATGTTCCATGTAACAAAGCAAGTGATGCTAGTTGTAATTACTGGCGAAACGTTGTACTCAGATTGTAAATGTTGTGGATTCGCTCTCCAACACACCGGTGTGCTGTACTAGTAACGAATTGGCCACGTTTTGTTTACGTGACAAACCTTACTTATTTGCTGTGTCGGGTGGTGGCGGGTTTAACGACACATATTTACGCGATCTAAAAAAACCCTGTATTATGGATGATATTGTTCGCGAACGCCTGCTACGCGTTAAACCCAAGTGACACAATTAGAGAACACAATTATGCAACAAAAAAGAAAATGCGTTTATGAATTGAAATTACGACTTACATTTCGGGGATACTGGATAATATGAATTAATTGACCACCTACATTATTAACACTGCCTTATAATAGTAAACATATACTGTATAACAAGCTAGAATCTTGAGCAATGGCCCTCCTTAAGACGAGGACCATCGCCCAAACCATGGGACTACTGGTTGGTGGTTGAGAAAGGCCTTGGTTTAGATGTCACTCGCCACTGAGGTTAGCCATGGCCGGGAATTGAACTCAGGACACGGGGTTTACAACGCAGCGCAAGAATTACTGCACCACTGTTTTATCTATTTTTAATAATAACTTACAATGCTTTATCAATCCACTGCCGGATTAAGGATACCCCATGCCACGATATCTCTGGCATTTATTTATTTGACCACACTTCACCGTGCCGGTCAGCGCAGGCTGATGCAGCGGGGGGCCTGGGACCGAGGTACCGGAGGCACGCGAGTGCGCCCTCACCTGTAGTACGCCTTCCCGTCGTACTCGTTGGAGGCCGCGACGATCTCAGCTCTGGGCGACGGGGGCGGCGGGCCGCAGGTCAGGGGGACGCAGCGAGCGCGCAACTCGCCCCAGCGGCCCGCGTCGTCGCACGCCAGCGTCGCGTCTCCGACGAGCGCAAAGCCCGGCCGGCACTCGTACGCGACGCTCTCCCCGGTGCGGCGCTGCCCGCCACCGCCGCCGCCTCCTCGGAGCGCGGCTCGTGCGAGCTCCGGCGGGCTCCCGCAGGACCTCCGGCGGCACGTCGTGGGCGCCTCGGAACTCCAGCTGCCGTCCGCCTCGCACACGGCGCGCCCCGGGCCCGTCATCTCGAAGCCGCCGCGGCAGCGGAACGCGACGACGCTGCCGTACGTGCGCTCGGAGGCCTCCGCCTCGCCGTTCTCCGGCTCGGGTGGCGCGCCGCAGAGGAGGGGCTCGCACCGCGGGCTGTCGGCGCTCCACGAGCCGTTGGAGAGGCACCGCCGGTGTCGGTCGCCCCGCAGCTCGTAGCCCGAGAAGCAGACGTACTCGATGGCGTCACCGTAGTCGAAGCTGGAGTCGATGAGGTAGCCCTGGGCGACGTCCGGCGGCGGCCCGCACGTCACCCGCTCGCACGACGGGCTGCCATTGCTCCATGAGCCGCTCGACTCGCACAGCCTGCTCGAGACGCCTCGCAGGGAAAACCCGACCAGGCAGCGGTAGTGCACGACTTTCCCGAACGTATATTCGGAGCCTTCGATTGTCCCATTTGCGATCGGTCGGGGCGCTTGGCAGGACACCGGCTTGCACACGGGAGGTTTGTTGCTCCACCTGCCGTCGAACAGACACGTGCGCACGGGCTTCCCAATCAACGTGTACCCCGCGTTGCATGCGTACCGGACCTCGCTCTGGAACGTGTGATCCCTGCCGACGATCCGGCCGTTCGACGGCGCCGCGGGAGGCCTGCATTCCTGCGGCAAACACTTGGGCTTCTCGGCCGACCACGTCCCGTTGGCTTGGCAGACGAGCTCCCGTCGGCCGACGAGCGAGTAGCCGGGCGCGCACGCGTACCGGACCGTGCCGCCGTACCGGACCGTGCCGCCGTGCGTGGCGTCATCGCCGGGCACGGCGCCGCCGTGAGCGATGACTTCCGGGGCCCCGCAGGCGACGGGCACGCAGACGGGCGGCGCGGCGTCCCACGTGCGGCTCGTGGTGCACGACCTGGAGGGCCGCCCCACCATCGTGTACCCCACGTCGCAGCGGTAGCTCGCCACGCTCTCGAACCCGCGGCTGTGGAAATCCACGACGCCGTTTTCCGGCGGCCGCGGCTCCTCGCATTGGATCGCGTGGCACTTGGGAGCGGTGCCATTCCACGTGCCGTCTTCTTGGCATATCAACACGGACGGCCCCTCCATATCGAACCCGGTCAAACAGTGATACCGAATAAGCGTTCCGTACAGATATTCAGACATCGGGCCGAGGTGGGAATCGCCGTTGTCTTTTTTTCGGCGCGATCGACTTCAGGAAATCCAAAAGCATCCGTATTTCCCTTTTGTCTCCGCGGTTTAAGGGTGACCGTGGATCGCGGCGTTCAAACGAGGCCATGCCATCGCTTTGGTAGCCGTGGTTCTTGCCGGTCTTGTGCTCCGCAGGGGGTGCGGTCGGCGTCAGCTTTCCCCCCTTCTCGTTTGCCGGGGGCAAATCGAAATAAAGGGAAATCAGCGCCCCTGCGTGTTCCTCGTCTCTGGGGGCCACCGCGTCCCCCACCTCTTCGCCGTGGTTCTGTTTCTCATCCGCGTGGATCTTCGCGTATTCCCCGAAGTCGATGTGCGGCGGCGGGCCGCAGTCCATCTGGACGCACGCGGGGGCCCTGTCGCCCCAGCCGCCCTCCTCGCACGTTTGGAGCCCGTTGCCCAGCAGCTGGAAGCCGGGAAAGCAGCTGTAGATGATGAGGCTACCGAACGTGTAATCGTTCCCTTCCACGAATCCGTTCTCCAGGGGCTGCGGGGGGCCGCACGTGATGTGGACGCAGGAGGGAAACGGCGCGCTCCACCGGCCCGTGTGGACGCAGCCGACGCTGCTCTCCCCCTCCAGCCTGTAGCCGCGTTCGCAGCCGAACGTCACCCTGTCGCCCACGCTCGTGCCTGTCGCGGTCAGTCTGCCGTTGGGGATGGCCTTCGGAGGGAGGCACGTGACCGGTTCGCACGTCGGCACCGCGCCTATCCACCGGCCCTCTTCCCCGCACTGCATGGTGGGCGTGCCGGACAACCTGTAGCCCGGCTTGCACGTGTAGAAGGCTCGGCTGAGGTACGTCAGCCCCTGGTTGTCCACGATTCCGTTGGCGATCGTCTCCGGGTGGGGGCACTCCACCGACACGCACTCGGGAACGTCGGAGCTCCACCGTCCGCTCGGGAGGCAAGCGAGCGAGGATTTCCCTCTCAAGTGAAATCCCTGCAAGCAGGAAAAGTTGATGCTCTTCCCCAGCGAGTAGTCGAGGCCGGACACCGACCCGAACGGGAGCTCCGGCGGGGCGGTGCAGTTGATGGGAATGCATTTGGGGAAAGCGTTGCTCCACGTTCTCGAGGCGGTGCACTGCAGGATTGCGGACCCGACCAGCTTGTAGCCTTCGACGCAGCTCATGAACAGGAGGCTGTTGAAGCTGTACGAGTTGCCGGATGAAAGCAAGATTCCCTGCGGAGGAGGCGTCGGGCAGCGCACCGGGCTGCACGTGGGCACCACGCCGGTGTTCCACAGTCCGTCGGCGCTGCAGGTCCACACGGAGTCCCCAGAGAGCTGGAAGCCCTCCTTGCACTTGAATTCCAACTGGAAACCCGGACTCATCACGTGACCCTTGGCCGCAGCGGCGGCGGCGGCGTCGTCCTTGGCGGCGCGACCCCTGTGGGTGGCGTGCCGCTTGACCTTGCCGGCGGCGACGATCGAGCTGACGACGCCGTTCTCCAGCACGGGCGGCGACTTGCACTGCATTTCGACGCACGAAGCGGGCGACTCGGCGGACCACTGGCGGTTGGCCTGGCAGCTCCGCGTGCTGCTGCCATGCAGGCGGTAGCCCTTGTCGCAGAGGTAGCGCACCACGCTCTCGAACACCGTCCCGTTGGGGGCCTGGGGGGACGAGGGGGGAAAGTTAACAAGCGAAAGGGGTTGAATGCCCACAGATGAACAAATACAAATTAGCGGTCAATTGTTACCAATATTAATGCCGTGTGACGTCATAACATCTGCACGCCCTGACACTGTGAAGTCGTCACGTACGACGTCACGTGGCCCCACCAGCAGGCACTCGCTTTCTTACGCGGCCGGCTGAAGCACGCTGCCATAGACCAACAGACGTTGACCTCCCCCTGCGAACACACGGAGCATCAACCGACGGCCGCAGACTTCTCGCGACGCGCAAGAGGAAAGACTCGCCTCCGCTCGCCCATTGTCAATCTGAGGGATCTCCCCGCAGGACACGGGCTGGCAGCTGGGGAGCTTGCCGCTCCACTCTCCCGTCGACTGGCATGTCCGCTTTTTCTCCCCCTTGATGTAATAGCCCCGCTCACAGCTGTAAGCGATCACCGCCCCGAAGCTGTAGTTGTTGCCGCTGACGTAGCCTCTGTCAATCGTGGCCGGCTCTCCGCAGTCCACGGGAATGCATCGGATCGAATGTATCGGAGAGAGCCAACGACCCCCGCTTTGGCAGGTGACCTTACCGTCCCCGTTCAGCTGGTAACCTTCCTGGCACTTGTAGCTGACCGTAAATCCCACGGTGAAGTTGTCCGCGTTCGGGCTGTCCATGGTGCTGAAGATGACCGCAGGTGGCCTGCCGCAGTACTGAGAGACGCACTGCGGAAAGTCCTCTCCGACGGTCGGAGCCCACTTCCCGTGCACGTTGCAGACAATCTCCTTGTGCCCCTCCAACTTGTAGCCATCGGCGCACACGTAAAGCAGAGTGCTCGCAAACAGGTAGCTGTCCCCCTTGGCTACGGCTTTCTCGATGCGGGGTGGCGCGCCGCACGACAGCGGGGTGCAGCGCGCATTGCTGAGCGTCCACATGCCAGAGCCTAGGCACGCCATCTTGGCAGTTCCCACGAGGTTGTATCTGCAAACGAACGTTCACGTGGTTTGAGCGCAGCAACGTCAACGGCACTGCGCGACGCGTCGAGGCTTTAAAGTGCGGTCTCAGCTTGAGAGGCGCCGATGTCTCATTCTTTTCCGCGGCCGCAACATTTACAATTCGAGTACCGTGGCGTTTCGCTGGTGAATACGACAACCAGCTTCATCAGGCGATTTGCCAGAATTGTGTTCTGGGTTTACTCTCCAACATAACAGTGCGCTGAAGTAGCACCTAATTGGCACGTTGCGTTTGTGTGACAACCCTTACTAATAGGCTGTGTCGGGTGGCTGTGGCGGTGGTAGGGTTAACGACACATTCCTGTTTTACGTGATCCAAACCAAAAAAAGAAATCCTTCATCACGAATAATATCGGCCGCGAAAGCCGACCCCTAACGTGTCAAGCAGCCGCTCACCCGTCGCTGCAGACGTAGGTCACGTCGTTGCCGAACGTGAAGCCCTCCCCCTTGACGATGGCGTGGCTGAGTCGGGGCGGCTCCCCACACGAGATCACCTCGCACTCTGGGGGCTCGCCGCTCCACTGGCCCGACGCCTGGCACGTCCGCATGTAGGGCCCGCGCAGTCTGCACACACGGATGGCCCCACACCACCCCCGCCCCTCACGGTCGGCTCACGTTTGTCAGGCAACGGCCTTTCCTCGGGTGACCGACACGGCACGGAGACGTTGCCCTCGGTTCGGGGCCCGCGGGGCCCTTCCGGTCGGTGCGCTGCCGGATGACGGCCTACCCTGAACGTCGCGTGCCGTGCGGGTTCTTTGACCATACTTCACCTCGTTGGTCGTCGCCGGTTGGTGAAGGCGAGGAGCATACATACGTGGGAGCATAGGAGGGAACAGCGATTTATTTTTGTTCTACTTACCTTTGCTCCCCACCACGTAGCCTCGCAGCCAACAACAACCTGCTACGCATCGTGGTCAACCATCCAGGCACTATCCAAGCTCAAACCTGCATCGCTGCCAACACCTGATCAGATCGAGTGATTTCCGGGTGATTTGGTCACAGGTAGGGTTGCCACCTGTCCTGGTTTTCTCAGGATCATCGTCTTTTTGAAATAGAGTGTGGCTGTCCTGGTGAAATCTGTAAATCTTCCCAAGACATTAAAAGTTCCGGGTTTTGTCAATTGCGTAATAATGATAATGACACCGACACCACTCAAGACGAAGCATCTGTAGTGGTTTGCGGCTCACATGCGCCGCACATTGCGGAGAGGGGCATTAGTAGAGTTTGATCGTGCTGAGCGTGTAACCAGGTTAGAGGTCAGAGGTCAGGGCAGTCTGTGAGACTATCTCAAACAGCCCGGAGATAGGGGAGTGGTCTTTGAGAAGGTTCCAGAAATCTTAACGGATTTCTTTTGGGGTAGCAGCATGTACATTTTTGTCACTATAACCCTCCACCACCCGACAGAGGCAATCAAAATCAAGTTGTCAACGTGGGCAAATAGACCAATGGGTTTGGTTTTTTATCAACACCAGAAAGTCAAAAAGCGAGCAACACTTTGACAGTTGTGTACGCCGCTGTGTTGGATATCACATCCAGAATCATCAGGTGTCAACGGCTCTCTCTGATGAGGTGGACTCTGGCATCACGGGATCGATGAGGAATTGCAGCAAAAATCGATTTTCCAAAAATTACAATTCAAGACGCTCCGAAAAAAAAAGTCTTCATACTCCGTAAACCTTCTCTGGGCAAATTTTTCACGATGCTTCGCTGGAGATTACACCCAGTGGCGCAATTATAGATTTTTTTTACATTTTCCGCGACAATCTAATCCAAAATGAACTAATTAACAATCATGATAATGGTCGTGAAAGCCCACATGTACCATTAACGTGTCGTTCTCTCCTCTTCTGGTATCGTAAGATAGTCTTTTTCTCCTTCCTAGGGATATATCCTCGTTTTTATACCTCAACGGTGGCAACCCTAGGTCATAGGTCAAGTGAGTGAAGCGGCTCGCAACCAGTAGGTTACGAGTTCAAATCCTGATTGCGGGTTAATTCAGCCCGTCGTACCTCTGGGATTGGTAAAATAAGTAAAAAGAAATGTCAACACTGGTTGTCCTATGGAGAGATTCAACCCCCACCGTAGGAAAGGTGAATTTCCATCACTGGCATTAGCGCTGTAAATAATAGCACAGCGTCGTTCATGTAAGTTGCATCTCACATTCGTTGAAGAACCACAAACAAGCTGGAAGGCAACCAGCGGGTGAGCTGGTACCAACAATTGCCCAAGCTCTGCATTCCTATACATATAAAATGAGTGTTTACACACGCGGGAGAAAACCTGAGCACACCAAGAAAACCAATCCGTAAGAAGGGGCAACAATGTATCCCATGCAGACGGTTTTAGCCCGCACTTTTCGGTACCGCCTTCTCCTGGAAAGCAAGGGCATGGCACCAGGGCATGGCACCTCATCAACACCCACGGGAATGGAGTTCCACGACGACATCTGTGCGGCGATCCAGCAACCCTCGCCGCTGCCAGGGCACATGCAGCAGCATAGCCCCCGCCGCCCGGCTGTCAAACGGGAGATAAGCACCGCCTCCACGATCATTTGTGCAGCGGGAAATCACTTTGAGGTCGAGTCACACGCTTGCCTGTAGCCCGTGGTGCACACGTATGTTGCGGTAGACAGATACGTTATTCCGTTTTCCGTGATCACCCCGTTGGTGATTTCATCCGGGGCGCCGCAGGAGATGGGCTCGCATGACGGAAGCTTCTGGCTCCACTCGCCGTGGGAGATGCACGTGACAGTCGGGCCACCGATGAGCGTGTAGCCCTCGTGACACCTACACGTGGGGAGGGAAGAAATATACACGACTTAAAAAGCGATGGTAAAGGTGCAGCCCTGCAATTAGTTGTCGCCCACGCCGCTGCAGGGGAAGGGCTTCCACTATAGGAGGCTCTAAGGACCCCCCCCCCTCCACTGGAGGGTACTTTGGCCTACTCTTCCCTGCTGGCCAGAGACACCTTGCCCACACTTTCAGTTCAGTTTCATTTATTAGGTAGAGCCCTGTGAGCCATTCGGCTCTTCACTCGGGTGCAACCGCAACAAATAAAAACATGAACAAGAAACATCTTAAAGTGACTACACGCAACAGAAAAGTCCAGGAAAAAAACAGCAAAGTCTTCCAGAAAAAGCGCCGTATATCAACGCTGTGTGCAACAATCCCAGTGGGATGCAAGTCAAACAATAACAACCACAAGGCAATTTAGATTAAAGTTATCAGTCTAACTCTGTACTACAACAAAGAAACATGGCTAAACCTAAACGTTTTCGAAATCACCAAAGTGAAGCTATGAAAACAATGTGACAGTGATCATAGGAACTGTGATTCAAATTTAACAATCAACGAAACACATAGCACCACACAAGACCTGCCGATAACCCGAGTGAAGCCACGAACGCTGCTGGGCGAGAACGGCGTGTGTGGGGATGCGGTGGCATTTCGGGAACTTGCACTGTTTTTTTATCTGCCACGCCAGGAGATTGACTACTACTGGCAACCCTCTGGATCGCAAGTTCGGTGTGATCGCCATTACGCATCAGCAGCCCTTTTATGAATCGTGAACGTGGAATAAACATTGCGTAAAAAAAAAAGACAGCATACCAACAATCGATCGCACGAAAAAACAAGTTGTCAGTTGTCGTGTTTAAATGTAATCTTGAAAATTGCAAGAATATTCACTTCCATCACGCCACAAAAAAATCCAACATTGGATGAAAAGCTTTAAAATATCCAGAACTCGATGCAGCAATCCCTAGCCGACCGCGCACACACGGAATTCGTGTGCACGCGCTTCAGTATCTGTATCCCGATTCACCAAATGTGGCCTGGACATTTTGAGTATCCACGGGTAGGCACGGGTCCGCATTTACAAATTTCGCGGGGGCCGCGGTTCTCCTCCGCGCGACCCGTGGCGCTGCGTAGCGTTGTCGGCTGTCCGTCGGAGAGGGAGCGATGAAAGTGAGGGGCTTGCAGAGTAAAGGGGACGTGTGGGATCGGCTCGTGCGTGGTGAGAGTGTTGCGTCCAGTGATGTTGTGATCAGGGCTCGTGTTGATGCTCGTGGTGCCTCCTCGTCAGCCTCCTCACCTGCCCACTCACCTGTCGTTGATGACGCGGGAGGAAGAGGGGAAGGGGGAGGGCTGAGAGCCTCCTCCTTCTCACCACCCCTTCACCCATCTTCTCATCGTCGTCATCGTCGCCATAATCATGGACTTGTACCCTCAATAAAAAGTTAATTGAATGTTGATTCATGTTTTATCGCCTTATTGTGCAATGTACTCTATTTTCTTTGGATCTTTCGGTAAAGTCACGTAGTTAGAAATAAAATAAAACCAATCACGACGTTCCGATTGCAACACAAGCAATCATCAGGTGGGAAAACCACAGCAAGAGAAAATTGCTGAAGTGGGAGAGAGAGCTCCAAATCAAGATTGTCCTCTATTTTATTCGTGTTTGGTGAAGAAACATGGAACTTAGTTGAGCTGTGACGAATCTGATCTCCTATTCCCCTATTTTCCCAGAGGCCTCCGCGGATTTCCCTGCCACGGCCTTTCTCGGAACCGAACCCCCACGATTGGAGAGGGATTTCTGTGTTTCAAGAGCCGCAGGTCGCCAACACCTGGCCACGTGGCCTTGCAGTCGGCCAGAGGCCACCGGGTTCATAGCGCAGTGCGCTAACCGCAGCGCCACCGCTCCTACCGCCTCACGCGATGCTTCGAGCTACCATTGTCAAGTCGCGTGGACTTCACGCAAATGACCCCTCACCCTGATACCGTACGCAGCGAGCGAGTGTCCCAACGTCGCAAATACGACTCTCCAACGAAGAAAGGAGGAGAGCGTCACGACTAAGCGAGGCTTTTCTCTCCGTGCGTAAGACTTCATTACTGTGGTCTCAAATGTGTGAGATGTGTGAGTCCCGACGGCAAGCATGAGAGGAGTCGTTTGGTGGCCACTCCGCACAATTACCGCGTTCGGTTATTCAGTAGAATGCGGAGACTTCAAAGCAATTAACTTGCACAAAGCTCCGTTCTGATTACAGTGATGATGATGATGATAATAATGAAAGAGTGGTTAGATGTATAATGATTTTCACCTTCGTCGACCCCGACTCATTTGTTTGCACATCGAAACGTTACATTCTGAAATAACTGCAGATTGCTACGTTCGGGGGTCGCCCGTCGTTATCGGCGTTTACCGCAAGCGTGCAAAGCGTACGCTCGTGGCGGGGAGGGAGGTGAAGTCCCTGATGCACGATCTCCCTCTAATCACTGAAATAACTTGGTGGCCGAGTGGCTCAGAGGTCAGGACACGCAGCCAGCGCCACCGAGATGCCTGGGCTCGAGTCTGGATTTGAGCCCGCCGTGTGATTAAAACCGGGTGTCAAGCTGCGGCGAGTTGGTGGCCTCGGGCCTGCTGGTCACCAGACGACTTGCGCCAAAAGCGCACCGCGTAAACATCTGGTTCTGCCACTCGACTTGAGCCACTGGAGGTCGCCGGTCCGAATCCCACCGGTGACCTCCAGGGCGGCCGTCAATCATTGCACCGTGGCAGTATCCCCCCGTGGTAATTCTGTAGCAAATAAAAATATCCATCCGGGGCACCACAGGAGATGGGTTCGCATGACGGAAGCGGTTGCTTCATATTTTAAATGATGAATTGTTGTTGTTTTTTTTTCAGGAATGGCCCACTTAGCTATGCAGCTCTTTTTGCGAGAAGCGACCTGGCCATCACAGATAATAGCTCAACGAAGTGGCACATCACGTGGAAATGTAATAGTCTAAAAGCGTGCTGATTATAAATGTGGAGGGAAAAACCGGAGGAGGACCCGGAGAGAAATCCACGTGATCATGGAGAGAGAGAGACACGCAAACTCCAAATATACAGCAGGTGTCGTGGTCACGACTGAACTCACGACCTCCTGCATACCAGGCGAGGGAGTTAACGTCTCGGCACCGCAGCACCCCTTGTAAGCAGGACGATCTTCTAAAGAGGACATCGTTACCTAAAGGAGATGGAGCTGCCATTCCTGAAGTCGGTTGCCTCCACTGCTCCGTTCGAGATTGGTCCTGGTAGCGGGCACTCCACATCTGCAAAGGCTGTGGAATAAATTGCGTCATAAAGTAAGTAAATAAATGCATCCTGGTTGTCGATTACAGCGTTCAAGCCGTCTTAATCACTGAACCGGAGCTTTACGACCGATCATATTTCAGGTTCTGGAAAAAAAAAATTACCAGACCATTTCTTTTCTTTTGTGATGACAATACGTTACTGGGGAAATCCCCCCCCCCATCCCCCGAGATGTAAAATCTCATTTGCGAGGGTGTCCAGAGTGTCATGTGACACATACAAGTGACACGTACAGAGCAAAGGCGCAATGACACGCAAAGAATATTGTAAACCCTACGACTTATACTGCTTACATTTATACAGTGTCAAAAACAGGAACACGATGACTTTAAAAAAGAAACTAGTGGGAAGTTATATATTTTGACACTTTTATTACAGAAGTGAAACACAACATGTAAGGTATATCAAGATTTATAGATGTTAAGGGAAGAAAGAAAAACAATGCTAAGCGTATTTTTTTGAAAAATCGCATTAATGTTATTTCCAGCAATGGGTCTACCCACAGCAAAAAAAAACTCTGTTTACCATTTACAAAATACGGGGCTTTGGGCAACAGCATAATGTTCCTTGGGTTTGTTTGCATAGGTGTCCACATTGCTCCCACGAAATCGCCGGAATGTTTAATTTCAGGGCAGCTCAAGCTCCGTCGGGATTGTTTTCACGGAGCGACCCTTGCCAGAAGGGACCCCCCCACCCCCTTCATCACCGCCGGGCCCCGCGCCCATCACGGCTGCCCGCCGCGTCCCGGCGAGCGGAGACGGGGAGATTTTGACACTGGCAGCATCCTCTCTGTGACATCGTTTCCAGATGGCTGGAAGATTGGCGCGAGTGCTGGGGACAGCGAGTCTGGTCAGAAACATCGACCCTTCTTCGTATGTACGTTGAACATCTTGTGCACCAGACGTGACGTAGCCGACCAGGCTAACCGTAGGAGAACAAACTAAACACAAAAAGCACTGCTAAAGAAATTAGTTTTAAAACTAGATGATGATTTAAAAGTGCCGTAGCTCCAGTGGATTCCTAATATGAGAAGGAAGAGCGTTCCAGACGGCCATAGAAGCGCATCTGAAAGCGCCGCGCGATGCAGTGACCGTCTTTGTGAGTAGTAAGAGACGTTTCCTACTTTCGCGGAATTTAAACTACGGGGCGTTATTCCGGGTAGCTTCAAGAACAGTAGAACCCCACTCATCCGCGATGACGTTGAGGAAGCTCGTCGCTAATTGTATTGTCCAGGTTTGTTATCCGCTAATTTAGTTCACCTATCTGCATTGATAATTGTGGCTAAAAGGATGAATTTGCTTATCCGTAAAAATAAAATGGTGTGGATAATAGGAAGCAGTTCCGCCAAGGAGGATGGAAACATTTGTGGATAATTGCGGACAATGGGACGAAGGGGCACTGATAACAATGATAAGAATCGAAGCTTTCGCGGATCTTGCAGCCTCCACGGATAGTACGAGCCACGGATCATAGGGTCGCAGAGAACGGAATTCTCCTGAAATAAAGGGGGGTATGGTTAGACGGCCGATTTGAGCTAGATCTATGAAACTACACGCACGTACCCAGTATGAGGATTGTTATCGCCATGGCGTTGCCGACGCACTTTGTATGGAGGGTGCCGATTCCCACCTTTGGCTCATATTCCATCACCGGCCCTGTCCCTCAGCCGTAAAAATCCTCGTAGCGTAGTGCCCTTCCCAAGCCCACTTACTTTTCTCAACAGTCAAATCTTCATTCATTCAGACGCTGTCTCCCCGACAGACCTGGTCTTCACCTGAGGACGGCTGCTTGCGTTGTGGCCGAAACGTCGTGAGAATTATTTTATTATGTTTTATTTTTATTATTTTATTACTTCCCTTCTACGTGACTTTATCGAAAGAACCAAGAAGATGAATCCCTGCAGTCACGAAAGCTTTAAATCGAAATTTAAGTCAAATCTTCTTCTCCTACTTTGCACGTCTGAGGTTGAGGTCGAGCAACAACGACAGTGCCATTCAACATCGCAGCCCACGTGGTGTCTCCAATAAGCCCAAATTATTCTTACAGAACCCCACATTGGGACCAGTAACAGTCGTCTGTGGTTGGCGCACGAGCAAGGCCCGTGCCTCGCGCGTTTCATTACCCAGTTGGCACTTCACCCAGCAACACGGTTTCGCTCTGTACAATGGCAAAGGAGTTCAACATGCATAAATGCATGCATGTTTTCATTACGGTACAGAAAATAAGAACAAATCAGAGACGCGGAGACATTCCTGGCAAACTTGTACCTCTGCTGTCACCCTGTGTGAACCTCCTGCATGAGCTGCTGGAAGTTACCGGGAAAATGCCACCGATTACACTGGTCAACACACTTTTTCTGGCATAAGGTATTCCAACGGTTGTAAGGTCATTTTGAGATGCTGATTCCAAATCTGGCATCAGTTTTTGTCTATCACATCAGGTTTTTGAGATATCAAATATTACATTATCAATAAAAACTGCAGAAGAAAATATTAAATAAATGTGGATATCGACATAAAATAATATTATGGACACACGATCCTAAAAATACAGCACCATATTTTAACACTAAAGCAGTCACTGACTCGCAAGAACTTGCAATCATAAGTGACAGAGTTAATTTCGGGTAAAATCAATTAAAATGGGGTATGCCGGTAGCATAAAATGAGATGTGATGGAGCAAATCTGAGTTTAGATTTGGAATCAGCACCCTGAAATTAGTCTAAAACAGCTGCAAAAGTCCAGGCCAGAATAAAATGTTCTTTTTTTTTGACCAGTGTTAATGTGTGATGCTGCTGCTGCTACGTTGACAGTTGCACGCCAGCGCAAAGCACAAACAGCAAACAAAATCGACGCGTTCGTCATTAACACCGTGCGGCCTTAAAGGGAAGCGTATATGATGATGATGATAATAACAGGTGACGTTTCGGGCAGCGGCCCTTCGCAGTGCATACATTGAGAGGACGGAGAGATAAACTTGTAAAATCAGAGTTGGAGACCTCACCATGGGGCCTGGTAAGAAATATATTGTAGTAGATATTTAACGATGAACAGTTTTTAAGGTGGCATATGAATAACGACACCATGAGCAGCTCCATTAGCAGAGTACAAAGTCCCATCACAACCTACCTACGTGACTTTACAGAAAGACCCAAAGAATTTGAATTCCTGCAGTCACGAAAGCTTTAAGTCAAGATTTTACCTACCGGTAATGGGCTTCGTAGAATGAAAGGCTGCTATTGCACCGTTATGAATGTCTGCAGTATTCTTGTTTGGCAGTTATGACCCTGCTGCTGACTGCAGTATAATAACTTTGCGGGTTTCTGCCTCATGTACAAGGTGTCTCCACCTCAATGGACTGTACTCGATACAGACAATGTGCATAATCACCCAGTGCTATACTACTACCTGCTATGGCATAGGATCGGAAACTCGGCCATCCATGGGAGGAAACAATAGTACGAAATCTTCTTGGTTCTTTCGGTAAAGTCACGTAAAAGGGAAATTTAAAAAAATGTATTTCCCTTCTACGTGCCTTTACCGAAAGAACCAAGAAGATGAATCCCTGCAGTCACGAAAGCTTTACATCGAAATAGTACGAAAACTGCAAAGGGGCATTAGCAATCACGGACAGACGCACGCTGGGAATGCAAACCTGTCAACCCCTTATCAGTGCCCCCTACCCCATTACACACCAAGTCAGACCTTATTGGTCACCGCGTGCCCCTTACACATGTCAACGTGCATCCTGCTAAGTCACATCGTCACAAGGGAGAAACACAAACAAATAGACGAAAAAAAGTTGCCCGTATGGAGACGGCTGTGGGCCATAAGGACCTGGCAACTCAATTTCCCGGCACAACAATACGGGGTAAACCTCGTGTGTGTTGACAGCTGTGGGGATGACACTGAGAGATGGAAAGAGGAGCATGTGGCTACTACTGTGACCCCCCCCCCCCCTCCTTGTTGAATTTTGTTTCAACCGAATCATTATTTAAAATAGTTTATTTTAGCACATTCTTGTTTGACATAATGTTGTTAGGTGTTGTATTTTTAAAAAATTATTTTTAATTATTTTACTCCCTGAAAGTGGCATAACTAAACATACAACTAGACATCCTACTTGAAAAAAAGTCACTGTAATTTACTGCACCACTCCAATCTCGAAGACTGTGCGTCACGGGGTGATGTAAACACGTGCAGTGTTTTCATTGTCGGAGTTGTATGTAGTGTATAATGCACCGTGCATAATATTCGACACTGACATCAAGCGTGGCTACTTTGTTTGTGTCACGCACACGCTGCCGATAGCCGGGGCGGTGTTGCCGGGTTCGCCGGATCGGCCCGGGACCACAGCCGGATAATGTCGGAAGCAGCCGGATAATCGATGATCAGCTGTAATAATGTCTTTAGCCTGCACGTGTTCCCCAATACAATTGTTTACCTCTCTCTCTCTCACAGGAGGCTTTTACAGCCAATGCAATGATTCATAATTCGTTTCTGTTGTAGGCGTGATGTAAATGGCATTCAAGTATAACCGTCCACCACCCGGCAGAGCCGATCGAATCAATTTGTCACGTGGGCAAATGTGGTAATTGATTTGGGTTTTCAGCAACACCGGAGGAATGTTAAAATGCAAGCGAAATTTTTGCCAAATTTTGCGCGCGGCTTCTCGCTGGAGATTGGCGCTGGGCGTAATCTCCAGCGAAGCGTTGTGCGAACTTCACCCGGGGAAGCATCGCGGAGTGTGAAAACTCCGTCAGGAGGATCCTGAATTGGAATGTTCGGCAACACCGGCTGCTTGGATTGTCATGGCAATCCTTCGCGGCCCCGTGACAGCAGAGTCCGTCTCGCTGGGGAGCGCTATTGGGACATCTGGCGATTCTGGATGTAATCTCCAACAATCAGCATGGTTGGCTACGTACGGTGCGAAAGACGTTCAACGTGCACGCGACAACCTCGTCTCTTCGCTCCATCGCTGCGGTGGACACCCCGTGGTTCATCTCAGCCACCGCCAGCGACGGCGTGTCGAGACGAAAGGCCGCTTTCATTCTTTTCTCGCCGTCGAAACGACGTCCCTACCCTGCGTTTGTCGTCTCTCCGATGTTACGCGTTCCCCTTTTTGTCCTTCGACGGCGATCCCAAGCAGGGCGCTTCGTTTCCCCCGGCGAGCGACCTTCGGCTTCACGATTCAGTTGCTCGGCCAGTGCCCGCGCGCTACCGATCCGTGCGCGAGGTCCGCGTCATTAAAAAAATGTTAACAGGCAGAGAGATCTCTGCAAGTCCCTTTTCTTACTCCTCAAACCTCAATGACCTCAACTGGCCGCCAGAACGAGAAGAAGGAGGGAAAAAAATATGTTTAGTTTTCTTGAGTCCATGGGGGAACGTGCTTTAGTATGAGCATCAGTCACTCACGCAGGGGCCGCCAGCCACTCACAGCCACTGTTTGTACAAAGATTCTGCAAAGAATGTGTGCAACAGGCCGGTGGAAGATGTTCTTGTTAATATCATGAGCAATGAACGCAATTGCATCCGACCAGTGAAGATGCGTCAATTCGGTTTGGTTAGCGTTTAAAATTCTTGCTCGTCTCTGTATCCCTTGCTGCTAATGTCACTTTTTTCCGACCACGGGAGACGTATTTTTGTAAAGATAGAATTATAGTTTTTCACGCTGCTATAACGGCAAAGCATTGAGCTCTCCCTCCAAAGTCAATAGTCCCAGATAAACACTCCTGAAAAAGCATGGGTAAAGAAGCAGCGGGACCTATCCCCAAAAGTCAAATATTTGCCACGTTAACTTATAACACAGCAACCTCCAAATAGAAACGCAACTTGGGAGAGGAAAATAAATCTGCCTTGATAACAAACATCATGAAAGCTCCAACAAAATCTTGTTCTCAACACCAACGCTTTCATGAACAACCGCCGACATCCCACAAAGTTGTCCTCATTACATTGACCCACAGAAAGATGCACTGTGATACCCCCCCCCCTCGCTCCACCCCCCAATTGGGATTTGAATTTCCAACTTTCCCATTGCCAGGCCGGAACTTTGCCACGGGGCCCACCCAGTCAAATCAACGACGGCTGTGTGACGGACAGACAGACTGGCCTCTGCCACCGTTGGATCAGAGGCATCAACAGAGATCCGCTACCACCACTATTTGCTCGTTTAACCAACCCGCACCGATAATCGATGTCTTGATAATGCACACTTATCATCATCATAATTGACAGTTGTAAGGTGTATGGAAAGCCGGCAAGTGAAGAGAACTTGCAGGCTACACTGCCAGAATTCGGTGGTAGATTCCAGCTTACTACGGAGGTGAGTTCTCAAGTCAGGACTGCAAAAGCTCGAACGACTCCGATTGTCTCATTAGCGAGGGCATCCTGGGAGCTGCACTGGCAACAGCGCCAGTCACCTCAGGAAGCCCTCCCCGAGCACGCTTGGACATGCATGTTGTATGGATGTATGTTGAACCTCAAATGAGTACTTGGTGCGATGTGTGAACGTCAACACTGGGGAGACAATGTGACCGCATGTGGTGCTGGCCACCCACCCCCTCGCGTGCCTTGCCGGCCTTCATTGGTGCTCGTTAACGGCACTTGCCCCAACAGTCTGTTACAGGCTACACGGGTGATCTTTGCATGCATGTATGATGTATGTATGTAGTTGTATGTATGTTGTATGTATGCTGTATGTTGAGCTTCGTTTGCACTTTACGTAGTCAACCGCACTAATCGGAAGTGCAGGGGGAAGGACAACAAACGAAACGCAAAAAGTATTTCTAAAGAAATGAGTTTTCAATCTTGATGATTTAAAAGTGCACAGCCGCAGTGGCTTCCTAATACCGGATGGAAGAGCGTTCCAGACGGCCGCAGAAGCGCATCTGAAAGCGCCGCGCCATGCGGTGACCGTCGTTGTTTGTTGGCGTGGGGGCTTGTTTGACCATACTTCACCACGCTGGTCGGTGTGGCTTTGATGAAGCAGTGGCGGATGACCTGCGCCGGCTTCAGACGTCACTCCCCCACAGATGTTCGCCGTGGGATGAAAACAAACGCGGCTTGCCCGGCTCATAGCACACGTGCCCAACCCACGGGGCCGCTGCTTCCCCCGTAGCTGTGCAGCGTGTTTCATCTGTTGCCACAACTTTCACAAGATGTAAGAATGTCATTAATAATTTATTTACAGCCCTTTGTCTCATCCAGTGATGGATCAAGTCCTCATTGCATTGGGGGGCTTTTGGACGATGCCTCACAATGGTCGGTGTGGGTTGGTACACGAGATGGTCTGACGGAGGCCACTGACCTGTTCAGATATCGCTCGCCACTGATGTTAGCCGTGGCTGGGAATCGAACTCAGGTCGCCGTATTTATCGGACAGTGCTGTTCCACCACTCCAGTATCCGCTCATCCACTCGTGCAGCAATGCGATTAGGCAGCCGTTTGACCGTGTGAAGTTGAAAGGAAGCCATTATTACAGATACACTGTACTTGTGTTTGTTTTTTCTACAAAATCTTTGAGTGATCTTCACAACAGAGCAGAAGCATTATAAAGAATCACGGCTGAGCAGATGGAGAAGTCCTTGGACCCTCTCGGTGTCATTTGCCAACACCGTGGCGGACCCGTGATGATGCAGAGCGATGAGACTCGTACGGTCGGACCTTCTTCGTACCCTGTGCGAGTGAGTTCTACTGACGCACCGTACCGAGCCAGCCAGCCGGGCTAATCGGAGGTGCGGGGAAGGACGACCAACGAAACAAAAAAAGCTGTTCTCAACAAATGAGTTTTCAGTCCGAATTTAAAAGTGTATAGCTCCAGCGACGTCCTAATATCGGAAGGAAGAGCGTTCCAGACGGCCGCAGAAGCGCACCTGAAAGCGCGCCATGCAGTGACCATCTTTGTTAAGGCACACCGTACATTCATGAACACCATACATTTCAGCATCATACAGTCCATCCACTACTGGATGACGGCCTCCAAAAGCCCGGCACCACCCTCTCACGATCCTGCGACGCGGCGATCCACCGAGCACCCTGCACACGAAGTGGCTTCGCCGCTCCATCTCCTACGTCCGCGGTCGACCTCTCGAAGGCGCACAACTCCATCGTGCGCACGCTCTCTTCGTTCAAGATTCATAATTTAAAACAACAACAACAACAAAAAGCAAGCTAAATCCACGCCCATTCATTCCATCGATCCCCGCGGCGTCTCACCGTTGTGCAGGGCTCTGTAAGCCAGCGCCTCGAACTCCTCGAAGTCGTCCAAGAGGTAGCAGTGTTCGCTGGCGGGTGCCGAGGCCATCTCGCCGAGCCCGCGGACGTTCCCGCTCCTGACGCCGACGGTGAAGAGCTCGGCCCCGCGGTCGCGCAGCGCCGCCGCCGCGCCCCGCGGGTCTCCGCCGCCCGCCCAGTGCCCGTCGCTCACCAAGAAAACCGCCGCCGTCGAGTTCTCGCCCGAGTGCCGCAGGATTTCCTGCGGGGCGACACCCGTGGCGGAGAGCTGCGGGGCGGCCGGCAGACAACGCGGTGGAAGCGGGCGGAGGGCGCCTCGATCGTGCGGCCACTTTTGTAAGAGGCCGCCGATGTATGAGGGCCTCGGGACCCCCACCCCCACTGGCTACGCACACGGTGCAAAAGACGTTCAACGTACGTGCGGCCACCGGCACCGTCCGAGGGGCGATGCTTCGACTCATGCCGCTGCCTCGGCTGCCGTGGTACGGGGGAAACGTCGCTCCTCCCTCGCATTCGTAGCGAGGAGGCGGTGGCCACGATGGTCGAGAAGATTCGTGTGGATACGGCGGGTCTCCCGCTCCACCTGGCCCTGTTCGAGGCCCGCTTGTCATCGAGACATCATCGCGCGTGGACTGAGAGTGCCGGCCACGCTGGGACCTGTCAGTGTGACGCCAAGGTTGGCGCGAGGAACGGTCTCACCGAACACGTTCAGAACCGCTTCCTGATCGCCGACCACACCGTTCGTCTCTCCTGGCTTTCGATCTGCCAAGCCTCTGTCATGGGTTCTGCTCATGGTGGCGAGATGTTAACTACCTTACCTGGTATACAGGAGGTAGTGGGTTCGATCCTGACCCTGATGCCTGTATATTTGGAGTTTGCGTGTCTCTCTCCCCGTGCTCCCGTGAATTTTTGCCCGGGTCCACCGGTTTTTCCCTCCACATTTATAAACATTTGCTAAGAGTATTTGGCTGCTATACATTTCTACATGATAAGTCAATTCGTTGAGCTGTCATTTGTGGCCAGGTCTCTTCTGAAAAAGCCCCATATAGCTCAGTGGGCCTTACCGGGTAAAATAAATAAAATCCTCATGTTTTATAGTTTCAACTGGTCCCTTACTAGAGTCTATCTGCAGGCAACCTCCCTCTACACTTGGGGAAGACGTGGACCACGGCCCACCCTGCGGACGCGGTCATTGACAGCCCGTGCGGCGCACTCCAACTGGTGCAACCTGGCCCGGCGCCCGAGACGGTGGTCTCAAGGCCCTCTCTTCACGCTGCTGAAGAGGCAACTGTTGCCTGGCTCGGCAAGATGAGCAGACGATAATAATAATAAAGCATCGTTAGACAAAGGCTTTGCAACTTATCTGGCTTGGAGGCCTTCCATTTAGAGCTATCGATATGGAGTTGAGAGTCATCAATATGTTTCAATTTACAGTTTGGAAACAGAGGTCAAAATTCCATACTCTTATGGCAGGGCCAGTCACCCCACAGCACAAAATTGCATCTTCCATTTGCACAGATTAAGAAGCCAAATAGCGATCAAAAGTTGTCGACTCCCAAGTGAATAAAAGGGGCCAGTCACCCCACAGCATCGCCACAAAGCGGTGCTCGTCAATACGTGGTCACGAATTGGGTCGAATACAAAACACAACATTAGTGGGGGGGGAGGTCGCAATCCAAATGTTGTTTTACTTTGGTGTTTGCTGTTAATCTGAAAAAAAGAGCCCATCCATGCCAACACCACGCCGGTCCTCCAAGAGCCCATCACAACAACACTGCGGGAAAACACGTCCCGCGTACCGCGAAGCGACGCACGTGTTTCGCGTTAGGTCTGCGCTTGACGCGCCTGACGCCTGCTGCCTTACCGCCGCCTGCAAGAGGGCACCCTCGGTGCGCGTGCCGCCGCCGCCGCCGGGGACCTCGGCGTGCGCCCGGGGGCACTCGTGCCGCTGGCAGCGCGCGGGCGAGACGAGATCCACGAGCGGCGCAGCGTCGACCCTGGACGAGAAGGTCACCACGGCCACTCGGGCGGCGGAGGTCGCCGCGGAGACATCCGCCAGCAGCTTCTGGACGCGCCGCAGCTCGCCGGCGAGGTCCGCGGCGCTCACGCCGGACGACTCGTCCAGCAGGAAGACGAGCTGCAGGCCGCGCCCGGCGTCCCGCAGCCGCCGGACGTTCGCGGCGAACCTCTCGGCGAGTCGATCCGCGCGCTCGTCCCCGGAGGGCGCATCGCCGGGCGAGGCGGCGGTCGCGGGCTCCGCCGCCGCCTGCCGCCGCCGCAGCTTGGCTTGCCGCAGGAGGCTGTCCCAGCCGGTCAGCTCGGCCGTGGTGAGCGTGAGCGCGAGCATCAACGGTAGGACGCTCCACATCTTCAGCCACTGCGCGCGCACGGTCGCGTCCGCATTATATCGCGTTGCGGTCCGCGGGAGAGCCCACAGAGCCGGGCTGCTCTGTCCCAGACTCAGCGTTTAACTCGTGAAGAGGCATTAAGCTGGAGGAGGGATATTTCTCCCCCGGGAGCACTTTTGTTTACTCTACCTGACTGAATGAACCCAGGGAGAGAGAGAGAGCCTTCCAGAAACACTGGTTCCTTTCACAGTGCTATGCTTCTTGCAAAGCATCTGATGGTGAGAAGTCTTTGATATTTTTTAATATATACACACACACATGGAAATACAAAAAAATACTCCAGCTTGCGGATTTTGGTACCGCGCCTTTATGGAAAACACAATTCGAGTGCGATTTCTCTTCTCGAATTCCTCACACTGAGCCAACTCCTATAATCCATTCCATATGCTTAGGCAAGCAGTGGACAAAGATGTGTAAACATTAGCTAATTCCAACACGCACCGCCCGTTCAAAGTTCCCAATTTAAAGACGTGAAACGGCATCTCGTTAAAGAACGGCCACCGAAGACTGGAGCATGTTTCATGGCGATGCGGGGGCGGAAAAGAAGTGGCACACGTGTTGAGCGTCATACGTTAATACGAACCATGTTACGGCACGCAGAATTCCACCGCGCTGCTCTGGGAGAAAAAAAAAACCGTTTTAAATGTCGGTGAAGAGCCTGGTGCGGCAACAAAAAAATGTTCATTAAAATATACCCAAGTTCTAAACGGCACACGCAGGCAGCTTCATATGTTCACGACAGCACCAGTGGCACGCGCACGCGCAAATTGCAACACGCGCGTGCGCGTGCAGCCCACGTGCGTCCCTACGCTCGACCAGAGACCCCTCTGGCCAGCGTGGTGAAGTATGTTCACGATGACCACGTGGGGAGGGCCTCAGCCCGCGGCGCACTGACGAGGGCAGAGTTCGCGTGCGCCGTTGCAATGTGACCCAAAAGCATGGGGCTTGCTTCTTTGTGACGGCACCTGCGATCACACCGGACTGAATTCGGAATGACAATGTCCTTTATTTATTTTCCTCCCCCCCCTCCAAAAAAAACCTTCCCATGAATCGCAAGCGCGACGACTTTTTGCGACAACTTCTCGTGCTCCTAAATGAGGGCGCGTGCCGGTTTGTTCTCGGTCAGATGCCCTCCCCAGAAGTCGGTGCCAGCGGAGAGGTCGTGTCAGAGGAAAACAAGACAACTTTTTTTGTCAAGGCGCTCTTCGCCCCTCCATCCCAGCTTAAATAGTCGCTCTAAGCCTGGGGTGTGTCATTCAGACTCTGTCTTCTCGACAGACCTGTTCTCCACCTGAGGACGTCTGCTTGCGTTGTGGCCGAAACGTCGTGAGAATTATTTTATCATGTTTTATTTTTTTTATTTTATTATTTCCATTCTACGTGACTTTACCGAAAGAACCAGGAAGAAAAAACAAGACAAGTTATGGCAGTACGAGTTGCGTGACGAATACGGGAAGGTTGCGTCATCGATGTTGTGAGCGTTCTTCACAGGCACAGCCGAATAATTCGTTTGTGTGATGTACAGTGTTAGATAGTTTTGCGTTAACATTCGGGTCCCCCTTGTCTTACAGAAAGAGGCGATAACACACCGCGCGGATCACCAGCATAGATTCAAGCAAGCCTGACTGCTGATGAGACACTGCATGTCGAAACCGGCCCACAGTTTTCTTGCTCCGAGACCCACTGCTGGTGACTAAACATAATGATTATACGCGCTTTCGAGCAGGCCCTTGCGACTGATGTATTGCGTGAAGAAAATAGTCGTGAGTGGTCTTTAGTTTATCATCAGATGACGGCGAAGGGTCGAGGTGTTGTCATTCGTTTCGTCACGAGAAGTCCTCCAACGCCACCCGCTTACCGAGCGGTGATTTTGTCTCGTGCCGAAGCGATCCCCGCCGTCTGCGTGTCGCGATGCACACGAGCCCGCACACAACAAAAGGGCCCTCAGTGTTGAGTCTCGGATGAGACGCGTTCCGTGGGGGCCACCACATTGAAACAATTAGGAGCCGTGCTGGGTTTTTTTTACTTTCTCGCGGGCGGAATGTAAGCCACGTGCCGAGGGCGATGAGGAAAGAAAAAAATACATCACAAATTTCGCTCGCTGCCTCGGGTTTTTTTTGTTCGTACGTCAAAACATGACGCTGGGATTTAAATGTCACATTTTAAACTGTGGGGTGGACAAACAAAACAACCTAACGTTTTTTTGTGTGCGTGAGCTCACGGCCAACGCCCGTGACGAATATATGAACCGATCCTGGGCCTCCCCTAGGTCGACTCGGCCTCAAAAGAGTACCTGGTGCGGTGTGTAGTAAACATCGCCACTGGGGAGACAAAGGCGGCCGGGTGTGATTGCTGGCCACCCACCCCCTCGTGCGCCGTGTCGGCCTTCGTAAGTGCTGCTCGCTAACAGCACTTGCCCCTACAGTCTGTTACAGGCTCTGCTGGGGATCTTTGTCTTTCTGCTTCAGGATATGCACGCGAAAATATGCACGCAAGATGTGGTGCAGGAGGCGCGTGTGTGTGCGTCACCCAACTCGGCCTTTTGGTGATGACAATGTGCAGGGTGCCCATTAGGGAGGGCATCGTTGGCATCGTCAGCCATGATTAGTCCACTGCTGGATGAGGGGCCCCACTCGCCCCTCCTAAGCCGTGATCGCAATCTCTCACAAATCCTGTGATAGACATCGACTCCATCTCCTTGGCGACTGTTCTTTCTCTCTCTCTCCGACGCGTTCTGTTCCTCGGCTGCCACTGCCTCACGAGTCTTGCTCACCACCGGTCGTCATCATTTGTCGTCGCGACGCCTTTCTAGCCCGGTCCGCTTCTCCTCCCGAACAGTTTCCACGACGCCGCCAGCTCCACGTGGCACCTCTACGCAACTTCTCAGGCCGTCTTCCCGCGATGTCGCAGGCAGCAGCTGAGCCACCGGATGATGCCTGTCCACTAATTAGCAGCGACAACGAGAGAGAGCGGTTTGGACGTCCGCGGTTGAACGAATGTGGTTGTGTGAAAAGAGCTGAGCGTGATTGGGCAACGACGACGACAACAACAACAGCAACAACACGCCTTGAGAGGTTGTCAACAGGAGGAAGATCGTCATCGGTCGCCACACACCCAAAGCCGAATGAGGGTTGACCACCCAGGAGTCTAGGCGTGACCGACGCGCATGCTTCTCATGTAAACAAATACAAACACACACAAACACACAAACAAACACACAAACAGACACACACAAACACAAACTCGCCGTCTCCCTGACGGTGCTGCACGCTGGAGATCTCGGCGAGATGTCCGTCGCAGAGTCGTGCCTTCACAAACATTGTTTTATTTTACCAGGTAAGGCCACTCAGCTGGCTTTGTGCCTCTGTTTCTCACGGGCCACCTGGCAATCACAAGTGATAGCTCCCCGAAGTGGCTTTATATCATCACGACGTGGACATTCATAGCAGTCAAATACTCGAAACGCGTGATGTCGACTCGACTTGATGTGGGGCCGGAGCAAAAATCCACGCGAGACACGTGGGAAAAACAGCGAGAGAGACACGCACACTCCAAATATACACCGGGCATCAGAGTCGGGATCGAACCCACGGACCTCCTGTATACCAGGAGAGGTAGTCAACATCTCGTAGCCACCGTCGATTTGGGGGGTAGGCGTGGGGGCGGCAGGCGTTCCGCGGGAGTTGGAGCATTAAAGCGAGGGGGTGAATCTCCGTCATCCGAGTCCCCAGGGAGGTGCTGGCACACGAGGGGCAGTAATTCAATAAGCGCCTTGGCACGCACGGCGAGGAGAAACGCGCGGAACGCCCCGTAGCGCGGATTCGGGCTTTGGAACTTGCTGTAAGTCTGACTGCTATAAACTAAACTATAAACCACAGTGTTTTTTTTAATCTTACCAGGTAAGGCGCACTGAGATACTCATCACGAATGACAGCTCGACAGAGTGGGGTCGGCGTGATGTGGACATGTATAGCGGCCAGATACTCTGAAAGGCGTGGATGTTCGCTCTTAATGAGTAGTTTAAAAAAAACCGAGGACCCAGAGAAAAATCCACACAATCACGGGGAGTGAGAGAGACATGCAGACAGTGCCGGATTCAGCTAGTGCGGAGCCTGTAGCATGTTGTTATAAAGAGGCCCTCAATTAAAAAAACACAAATATTACAACACAAATTTGCAACTTGCATAGTAAAGTAATTGTATTTTTTCATTTGCTATAGAGCCAGATAACATGACAAATCGCTAACCTTAAACACCCAGTCGTTTATAAAAGTTGAAGGCGGTATAGTACTATAGTAATAGAGCAAGTGCAGCATCACTGAACCAGAATTGATAGCTTGAAAGCATTTAGCGCGGGGCCCTTTAAAGTGCAGGTCCCTCAGCATATGTAGCTACTTGTGCTACTAGGATAGTCCGGCACTGCATGCAAGCTCCAAATATACAGCCATGGTCGTGGTCAGGATCGAACCCATGACCTCCTGTAGACCAGGCGAGGCAGATAACATCTCGCCACCAGGGCACCCATCAGCGAGTGGCAGGACATTCAACAGGCCACTCATTTCCACTTCCCCGATCTGATCATGTTCAATGACAGTATCGGTCTGTTCTCCTTTAATGCCGCGTGGTTTTATCACGCGAATCAGATATAACGCGACGAATGAACACATTTTTTATAACGCGGCTGCATATTGGATTTAACGCGATTAAGTAAACGGAACTACGCCGCGCGAGTTGGAATAAGCGGTTGTACGGCTGCTTTGGCATAGCATCATCGCACGAGGCAGTGGGATGCTGCTGGATGCTTCTAGATGCTACCCACGTGCCTCAGTCTTTGTTCGGCCTGTCTACACGTCTCGCCGTGTTAGCGTGAACTGTTCTGTACCCTGTATTACATTTTATTTATAAGAACGCGATTTTTCCATAACGTGGTGTTCTTCAGGAACGCAACCACCGCGTTATAGAACAGACTGCGTCAAGAGAACAGACCTCTGGGTCATGCTTCTTGTTTTCAGGGTCACAGGTCCCCCGTTAACAATCGTTAAGCACTTTGTGATGCTGGACAGGCCTCCGCAAAGCTGTGTGGTCTGGAGTCAAAACCATCCCATTGTGCACACAATAAATAATGCAGCAGCAGAATCTCCCCAAACCTCCGAACACTATTTTGTACTTCTGTGTACTGATCGTTCGAAAAGATTCCAACCGAAAAGAATGTCGGTGGCATGTGGCAGTGAGCCGAAGAGATGCGAGAACGATCTGGACAGAGTCCCATCGCAGGCCTCTGCCGGCAGGTGAGGCATCAATGGGCTGGGTCACGTTGCCTCTGTGTTCCCCACGTGGAAGGAGATCTGTCGGTGGGATGTTGGCACGAGAGGACCTCCAGGTGAGTGCATGGACTGGCATTGTTTACCGGCCACTTTGAACGCTCGTCAACGATGTTTCTGTGCCCTCAAACAACAGCAACAACATGTCCCCGAGGGGTGACGCTCACGGCAACAGGAACACAGCACATCGTCCGAGCTCGAGTCTCAGGGCAGGACGCACGGATTCCATGACGATCAAAGCGACCTTCGTCGATGCTCCCTTTCTCCTCTGGCATGGCTCCCCTGAGCAAGCTCTCGAACTTCAAGGGAGACTGCACAGGAATGCAAACACGCGAACGCCTGTTGGGTCCTTCGCCTGCAGCGGAACAACCGGCGCACACACCGGTGCAGTGTTCACAACGAAGAGCGTTGTCGGTGCGGTGTTTTTTTTTCACCTTCATTTTTATTTTGGTCATAAGTCTTCGTCCGGTCAATAACAACCGGTGGAATGTTATACAACAGGTGACACATCAGGCAATGGACCGCGGTGGCGAGATGTAAACTACCTCGCCTGGTTACACAGGAGGTCGTGGGTTTGATCCCTGTCACGACCCTAATGCCCGCTGTATATTTGGAGTTTGCATGTTCTCCCTGTGGTCGTGTGGATTTTTCTCCTCTGGTTTTTCCGCCCACATTTAGAATCAACATCACGCGTTTAGAGTATTTGGCTGCAATACATTTCCACGTGATGAGCCACTTCGTTGAGCTATCATTTGTGGCCAGGTCACTTCTGAAAAAAGAGCTATACAGCTCAGTGGGCCTTACCTGGTAAATAAAAAAAATTGTAAAACATTTTTAAAATAATTTCATAGCACATATATCAAGAATGCCATTTCCAGAAACGTAGACTGTTAGATTGTTTAACTTTTAAAAGCCACGGTGGCGTTGACGGACAGTCTTATCTGGTCCAACACCATGTGAGACTAAGGAAAGCTGTCTCGGGTGTGGACCAATCAACTTCAAGGACAGTGCATACATTATCAGAGTTATGTTTTTTTTGCTATGACTGCAGGTATTGTGGTCTATGCAAACATGACTCCTTGTAAAAAAGGTGTCAGTTTTGTTGCCAGATAAAAGGGTAAAAAAAGCAATTATCACTTACTCGATTAGTCCACAAGTCTGTAAGAGTTTCACTCTATTACTTACTCTGCAATATTTACTCTATTACTCTGTGAAATCTACTCTATTACTCTGTAAGACTCACTCTATTAGTCCACAAGTCTTACACTCTGTGGATTCTTTCTGTAGTCATTCTCTGAGTGTCGACGATTCAAGCACTAAAACTTTGTGGCACTCGGTTACTTAAATGTTGGTGAAATGGGCGTTATAACTCCCGCCCCCCCTCCAAATATGATCAGGCCATCCAAGCAGAGTAAATATATTTTAAATAGCTACACTATTTTACCAATTATCATGTTTGGTATTTCTCTGCACTGCACTCTCTGTTACTCAATGATCTTATTATCTTTAATCAGACTTAATCTCACCGAAGTCAGCATCATTTGATCATCGGTGAGTTTCGTCATGGTTGACCGTCATATTGTGTTACTTTCATCCCCTCTTAGTTATGATTCACCAAGATAAATATTAATAACACTTCATCGGTCAATATTTTGGTAATTATCTGCACATCTCTACACTGACAAAGGTGCATGACCAGGCGCGCAATTCACGGGAGACTGTCAGAATCCACAAACTCGGTATTCACATCCGTTGTTAATGTTTTAATGTTCGGTTTTGCACGACTGCAACAGACGTCAAAAAAAACTTTACCATCAAAATATACGAAATGTATAAACACTTGAACACGTGGTAGTAGTAGTTGGAGGCTTTCGCGACCAATTTTATCCATAATAGAAGAGGTTTCTTTGGGGTTAGATCACGTAAATCTATAAATGTGTTATCATACCCACCACCACCTGACACAGCCAATTAGTAAGGTTTGTCACGTGAACAAAACGTGTCAATTCGTTTCGAGTACAGCACATCGGTGTGTTGGGGAGCCAAATCTGGCTGTAATTACTGGTGAAACGTCTTACTCAAATTGTAAATGTTGTGGATTTACCCTCAAACACACCGGTGTGCTGTACTAGTAATGAATTTGCACGTTTTTATACGTGACAAACCTTACTAGTTGGTTGTGTCGGGTGGTGACGGGTTTAACGACACATTTATATTTAAGTGATCTAACCCAAAAAAAACACGTATGGATATATAAACACTGCTTGGTACAAAGCGTACCAAATGCAACTAGGTTTTTATTTGAGTATGCATTATCTACACAAGGGTTCACACACACATACATTGTACCCAGGTTTCGTGATATCTTATCGCAAAGAGAAACGTCGCTCTGCAAAAAACGAATTCTTGAAGACTTCTTTGCAGCTCAGTCGTTTAGTGGGAGTTTAAACACAGTTGGCGCTCATACCGCACAGAAACACTTTAACTTAATTCACTAGCAACCAGAATGATAATAATACTACAAAATATATATTTGCTGAGACTTCAACACAGCGAAAACTGCCCTCAAGGTAACGGTGGGAGTGCCGTTCCCTCCTTTGCTATTTCCCAACCACAAAGTTTCGATCACGGGGTCTCGTAATCAGTGCACTTATTACATTGTTGCGATACCACAGCGCACAGCAGCCCAGCTCTCAACAGCACAAACAATTCACAGTGCGGCCTACTACTACGACTTGCTCTCGATAACATTGTACTGTGGTTGTGGCCTTCCTTCCTCCGCAGCCAGTAGAATCTGTGCTCTTTGGATACATAGATACGACTGGCGCGACTGCACCCACATTGCAGCGCAATCACTGCACTGTGTAAATGTGGCCGTCATAAAAGAATCAAAGTGAGTTTTAATTAATCGACGGGAAAACAGCGGTGCTGTAACTCTCTTTTAGACGAAACCCGCATCTCCAACATTTGTACAGTGCGAAAGAGTTAAATATTGCCGTGCGAAGGTTACACAATGCTCGCGCTTAGCAAAATACACCGAGCCTTTGTGAATACTGCCAATGTGAAGTGAGACAAAAAAAACACGCAAAAACGAGCAGTCGTTTCCAATCAACCCTGCCTGTTGGTCCAGCATCTTGTTTATATAAAAAAAATAATAGTAAACCACCAGCTTTCCAAAAGCAACTGTCACAATAATTACAAAAATAATAATCTACACGAAACAACGGGCCCATTTACAGCGGCGGCACCGACTTTTCTCTCAAAACGAAGGCAGCATTTTCACGCGGAGAAAACAATGTGTGGATGGTGTCCAAGCTCGCACAGACTATGCCCTTGCTCGAAAGAAAACGAAACGCAAAATGTGCTCGATACAAAATTCTGAACAAGCGTTTAATGGCCCCCAAAATAAAGTGAAATAAATATAGGAATATTGAGCGAAGCTTTCAAAATACGAGATATTTATTTTACAATGTTCCTGAAGGACACACACAGCCACTTTAACACGGACGCTTACGAGGGTGGCCAAGTCAATACCCTAGTTCGTGTGTGCGGGGGGGGGGGCAGCCGTCATTTTAACAGGAAGAGAACCAACGAGATACAATGCATCCTCCAGTAAAGCACTGTAGTATTCAAGAAACACATACGAAGTTAAACATGACTTGTGTAAAAAATATATATTTGAAACAACAACAGGCTTCCAAGTGAGCCCAATTAGATATTAGACGACAAACTGATTTATCTTCATCGCACTCGAGGTGGTCACGTGACTGATCGGCGTGACCAGGTTGTGATTCGGCGTGGACGTTGATTTGTCGAAGTTGTCGGAGCCGTTGGTGACGACGGCGTTTGCCTTCCGGCAGCACAGGATGCGCTTGAAAGTGGCGACCATCTCTTTGTCCCGAAACGAGTATATGATGGGGTTCATGGCGGAGTTGAACTCCGCTATGAGCAAGAAGTACTTCTCGAAGGCCAAGACATTGCAGTCCGAGCAGAACGAATCCAGCAGCAGAATCACCAGGCCCGGCGTCCAGCACACGATGAAGGCTCCTGAGAGACGGCACGAGACACGAGTCAGCAATTTTGGCAGCAACGCGCGGAACACAAGACCAGTGTTGTTCCCTGAAACCCGTTGTAGGTAAAGGCGCAACCTTGCAATGACTTGCTCCGCGACTGCTGCAAGGAGGGCCTCCACTAGAGGGGAACGGTGGAGAGGCCTTTGAGAGGCTTTTTTTTTTCACCTGTTGACCAGACGAGTACCCACACTTTACCTCGCCACACCCAGACCTGCCGGTCGACAAACTGTGTCTAGACCCCTACGTATTGCCGGGTGGACAGGCGGTGGTGGGTGGGGAGATAAAAAAAACTTGCCCCATTGTTTCAACCGCTGTGCTAGAATAGTCGTCGTACGAATGATAATTCACAGGCCTTTGTTAATCCTCTTGTGGGATGAACGCCAGCCCCATGCTGTGTTAGCCACAGTAGCTGTCCAAGCGTACTTCACCAAGCGAGTCAGTGCAGTTTGGTGAATCGACTGGGGAGGTGCAGCACCGGTGCTGATGATGACTCGCCACCAACGTTAGCCGTGGTTCGAAATCGAACAGCAGTCGCCGGGTTCATAGCGCCAGTACGCTAACCACTCAGCCACCGTTTCCCTTGGAGCTTTTGAGCATGCGACATCAGCCATTAATGTTGCCCACAATCAAAATCACCCAGAGAATACCCAATCCCATCAGAAGCTGAGCAGAGTGTTGAGCCGAGAGACAGTGCTTGGTTAGGCGACTTATAGTGCACGTCAGATGGATGCAGCCTGCCGCGGAAGCTACATGGCGGCCAGTGCAATGATCTCCATTGTTGTACTACACTTTCTCTGCTCCCACGTCTACGTTCCCCACCTACACCAACCCACACTGCCAAATAACTCCCTACACATGCAGCGGATCGACACAAGGGGCCGTACACACACACACACGTTCGAAGACGAATGTGAATCGTGTTGTCGAATGCAAGCACCCGCCGTCCAGACAGGCCCACGGCACTCACCCAGCATGATGGTGACGGTTATGAGCAAGCTCATGGTGGCCTCTCGCCTCTGGGTGGACCTGGAGGAGTTCCGCGACACGGGTATCGTGTTCCTCCACACGTGCACGAAGATGTGGCCGTAGAGCCCCACCATGATCAGGAACGTGGAGAGATTGGAGCCGGCCCAGAAGATGACGTAGCTGGCGCTGTACAGGGGCGCCATGGTGGAGCACGTGCCGATGTTGCAGATGCAGTTCCAGCCCATGCTGGGAATGGCGCCGGTGATGATGGACGCGAGCCAGATGATCGCGATGACGACCACGACGCGCCGCTCGCTCATCCGCGTGTGCAGCTGCATCCGGAACACCGTGACGTGGCGCTCGATGGCGATGGCCAGGAGGTTGGCGACGGAGGCCGTGAGGCTCGTGTCGATGAGCCCCTGGCGCAGCATCCAGGTCTGCAGCGACAGCTTGCGAGTGTTGGGCCCCGTGTTGAACATCAGGTAGACGTACGCCGCCCCCGCAAAGAAATCCGCCGCGGCCAGGTTGGCCATGAGATAGTAGATGGGGTGGTGGAACTTCCTGTTGATGTACACGGCGGACATGACGAGGCCGTTGGCCAGCATGATGAAGAGGCACAAGGCGAAGCCGAGCACCATGACCACGGTGCTGCTGACGGTCCACTCGTCGTACAGCGGCTTTCCGCTGTTGTTGTAGAAGAATGTGATCGTCTCGTTGTGGTGGCACCTGCCCTCCATCTCGTTCTCGCGTTGCGTCTTCTCACGCCCACACACACACCTGCAGAGCAAAGATGATTTAAAGTTAAGAGAAATGTTCCGCTCTCGTTCCGAAACAAATGCTTTTTAAATGGACCGATTTAAAAAGAGAAGGCGAATTGAAGATTGTTTTTTGCCGTGTAGTCAAGTCACAACGTGACTTATGAGGTGACTATATCGTGCTATGGAGGAGGACTGTTGCCCGAAACATCGCCTGTTACATGTTCGATCCATTTAAAGTCCACGGTATTTTTATGACGAACTTGTGGAGTTATTATTTTGTGATTTGTGCTCGAACACCACTGCCAACGCAGCAGCAGCATCACCAAATCATATCTCATCTTACACAGATCTACACAACAACAATTACATTGTACATGGTATAATTTTGCTGACTATATAATCATTTACAGCTCTCGTGTCGATCCAATGATGGACGAATGCGTCCCCCCCCCCCACCCAATGCTGTGTCGCTCGAAGGGCCATCTAATAATTGGAGTAATTCATCATGCTGGTCAGTGTGGGTCAGCGGCAGCGAAGGGCTCACGGCTGGTCCGCATGTCACTCGCCACGGATGTCAGATGCGTCAGGGAATCGAATCCAGGTTGCCCCGTTCGGAGCGCCGCACGCCACCCACTCCCCCTCGCTGCATTATCGTACCGGGTCACCGTCGGCAATGCATTCAAAGAGCCGCGGTTATACAATTACATCTCGATAGCGTTCCTTCTGTGAGCGTCGTCATCGTCATACACAATGGCACAATCTATTATTTGCACTGGTGCCCGTGACTTATTGTCCTTTGTAGTGACCCCCATGGGAATGTGGAATTTCCACCACGAGCTCAGGGTCGCGAATAGAGGTGATTACATCTTGGAACACTGCCTATACATGTACGTACACGCATGTACATGCATAGTCACTCTCGCATCGTACATGCATGTACATGTACAGTCCGTTTCAATCATTCCACTGCTGGATGAGGGCCTCCACACGTCTTGCGGGTCGGGTCGAGAGCGATATTTGACCATACTTCACCACGCTGGTCAGTGGGGGTTGTGGTGAAGGTGTTGGGAGTGCAGTACACCCGTGGGGTTTTCTGCACTGCCAGCTGCTGCCCACAACGCCCATGGCACCTTGCTATTGCACGTGGTGGCAGTGATGGGCACCCATCCAATGCACTTCCTAGGCTCGACTCTGCTTAGCTTTACAAAATCTGAAAAGACTGGGTGCATTGTGGATGATTTGGTCGTAGGCTACTTTGACATTAACACACTTATATTGCACACGTGATTATTTATGCGGCTTGCAGTTTGAGAACGAATGCCACGTTACATCTTACAATGTCATGGTTTATCTTTCAGTTGTCATGTTAGAGTTGGGGACAGACTAAACGGGGCTTGAACCACAATTGGCTAAGTGGCGAAGTTGAGGAAAGAGAGGAAAGCAGACAGAGAAGTCCATGAGTGTGGTAAAGGTGAGCGCTGGTTACTTTTGGCATTATCATTAGGTAGCAAGAGTGTGTTTAGTTAATGTCTGGCCCAGCAAAGGTAGGTATTTGAAAGTCCTTTGTGTGGCTCGGTGAGGGAAATATCCCCCACCCCTGGTCCTAAATGACGACTTTAGTAACTTTAAGCACCCCTATCTCTCTCAGCTCTGTTAAAACTGAGGGCCAGACAAAATAATGCATGGCACGCCACAAGGAGGAGGGAGATCGTGACAAGGACTGCCAACACAATGTCACGATGACCTTGCCATTAGAACGGCCATGGGCGATGGCTGGACGGACGGGGCAGGATGCGACACACATTGCCTCCCCAACAGAGTCGGATGTACACCAATTGTTGGCCGCCCTGTTGCTTTGTGGGTGAGCGGTATCGGTGAGCAGCGATGGCCGGGAGGCGCTTACACGCCGATGTTGCCAGATCTGGAAAATCAATTTCACAGAACCTAAGTCAAAATATCTCAGCCCGTGACACATCGCTCGATTTTGAAAAAAGAGAACCGGGACATTTGGTAACTTTGAATTCCAGCTGTGCAGAAATTTCGCAATAAAAATCATCTTACCGTTCACCCATAAAAACTCCGATAACATCTTAACGTTTCCGCAGAACGTTCACGTGAAAGGAATTGGCCATATGTCCCAGTGACCCTTTCCTGAATAAAGGATATTCATTGCTTGCTGTTATTCTTATGGACATTTGTTAGCGTGGCACCCAAGTCATGGAACGCCTTGCCACTTGAAATCTGGCAATCAGAGTCGGTAGATAGATTCAAGTCCGCTTTGAAACCCCATCTCTTTAATGTGGCCTTCCCTCTTTAGTTTCGTCGGTTGCCCCTGGTTCTCTTTTTGTTTCCTGATTTTCACGCATTGCGTATCAGGATCCTCGGATGAAATGCCCATGATACATTTGAATTATCATTATTATTTGCCCCATATGAAAGATGTAATTTTGGAGTTCCTCTCTGATATTTGCGCCGACGCTGCTGTACAAGAACACGTTTGCACGCAAAGCGTAACGTGTGTAAGTTGCTCTTGCTGGACTGGTCAGCTGGTTCGCGTGAATTTAAAAGTCACAGTAGCAATGAGCAGACAGGTCCATGCAGGTTTAACCTGCCTGCAGCAGGCAATGCTGTGAGGGTGACCGGGCAGCACCTCCTCCTGACCACGACATTATTCTCATCATTGCAAATCCACCCCAGTTTTTTGTATGCGGCATGGGGCGACGCTTGCTTAAATCTAGCTGTGGAGGAACCCACCCCACTGCTTCTTTGGGCTGTCGACACGGCCGAAAAGCTTCGTTTTCGCGTATGGGCATAATGGGCCCGTGGGCACACGAGGCGTGATACTTAAAAGCTGTCCCACAAGCGATAAGCGTGTCCAGCCACCACCAAGTGTCTAATCCCCGCGTCTACTTTGGGAGCGTGAGCCCCACATCGCCAGCGTGTGCTAGTGAGTGGAAAGTAGACGACATGCATCGCATCAGAGAGGTGAAAGGTGAGCGCTCGTTATTATTATTTTGCGTTCATTCAAAAACACTTCAGGTCGTCTGTTAATGTGTGGCCAGAAAAATTGCCCTCCGGTAGGGAAAATGTTTCCCAGCCATGGCCTACATTATTATGCTGAATGCAAGATGCCTAACTTGTAATAACTTTGCACGCTCCTTATCTCTCTCTCTATTTTACAACCGAGGGCTGGACAATAAAGGACACTGTAGGTAGTAAGCACGTGTGGAATAGTTTTTTTTACCACTTAAGACAATATTGTGGTAAATAATATCGTAATAGCAACATGAATTACCACAACACTCGGGGTGACATGGGATGGCAAAAGCCTCCGGGCTAGTGAAAGATTTACATACAAACTGTGGTACAGAGTGGACGAATTTATGACTTCACACAAAGCTGGCAATACACAACAAGACACAATCCCACCAAGATTGGTGTAATATTATACAACGCCAGCACACATCGATCAAAGCCGTAGCAATGTGGACTCAATCGCAACCTCGGTCATACACAAACACAGCGAAATGTTTCGTACGAAACGAATAAGGTCAAGAAAATGTGATACAGCCCAACCAAATCACAGCTATTGTGCAGAGCAGCAGCAAAGCACAGACCCCGGCATTAGACAAACGCAAAGCCGGATCTGGACAAACGCATGGCACGAACCCAATGCTACACGAGGCATACATACGTGGCACAAATGCTACACAAAGCCAACACACAGCTCGTCCATAAAGTTAACACAAACTCAGCATGCACCCATCACAACACTCTATACAAACCCTACAGAATAATAAACTCAGCATGCACCCATCACAACACTCTATACAACCCCTACACGATACCGAACTCAACATCAACCCATCACAACACTGTATAGTACAAACCCTACAGAATAATAAACGCAATGCAAACCTAACAGAATCCTGTAATCGACAAAAACCCAGCACAGCAACTCCACCAATATAAGCCAACACAAGACCCCTGTACAAACACAACTACTTCTACAAACAATGGCAAACTCTCGTCAACACAATTACGGTATGAAAACAGCACAAAATACACCCCCCCAACACAAACCATGCACAAAACTCGATACAATACCGACACAATACTCAACTCAAGCCAAACACAACTTTCCATATTAACTCAACACAAGCTCCATACACACCCCAAACACAATCACACCTCGGTACAAACACAGCTATTTAAAAAAACACACACGCACAAGGCGGTGTGCTAAAACAGATCATTCGATGCAGACACAATGCAACATCCCGGCACTGGCACGCTTACGAACCCAGCAACAATCAAACTAAACCCAGCACAAGCGAACTAAACCCAGCAACAAGCGAATTAAACCCAGCAACAAGCGAACTAAACCCAGCAACAATCAAACTAACCCCAGCACAAGCGAACTAAACCCAGCAACAAGCGAATTAAACCCAGCAACAAGCGAACTAAACCCAGCACAAGCGAATTAAACCCAGCACAAGCGAACTAAACCCAGCACAAGCGAACTAAACCCAGCAACAAGCGAATTAAACCCAGCACAAGCGAACTAAACCCAGCACAAGCGAATTAAACCCAGCAACAAGCGAACTAAACCCAGCACAAGCGAACTAAACCCAGCAACAAGCGAATTAAACCCAGCAACAAGCGACTAACCCAGCAATCAACTAACCCCAGCACAAGCGAACTAAACCCAGCAACAATCAAACTAACCCCAGCACAAGCGAACTAAACCCAGCAACAAGCGAATTAAACCCAGCAACAAGCGAACTAAACCCAGCACAAGCGAATTAAACCCAGCACAAGCGAACTAAACCCAGCACAAGCGAACTAAACCCAGCAACAAGCGAATTAAACCCAGCACAAGCGAACTAAACCCAGCACAAGCGAATTAAACCCAGCAACAAGCGAACTAAACCCAGCAACAAGCGAATTAAACCCAGCAACAAGCGAACTAAACCCAGCACAAGCGAATTAAACCCAGCACAAGCGAACTAAACCCAGCACAAGCGAATTAAACCCAGCAACAAGCGAACTAAACCCAGCACAAGCGAACTAAACCCAGCAACAAGCGAATTAAACCCAGCACAATCAAACTAAACCCAGCACAAGCGAACTAAACCCAGCAACAATCAAACTAAACCCAGCACAAGCTAACTAAACCCAGCACAAGCGAACTAAACCCAGCACAAGCGAACTAAACCCAGCAACAAGCGAATTAAACCCAGCACAATCAAACTAAACCCAGCACAAGCGAACTAAACCCAGCAACAAGCGAATTAAACCCAGCACAAGCGAACTATAAACCCAGCAACAATCAAACTAAACCCAGCACAAGCGAACTAAACCCAGCACAATCGAACTAAACCCAGCACAAGCGAACTAACCCCAGCACAAGCGGACATCATACAAGAAGACTTGGTTATCACAGTGAGCCCAGCACTCACAAAGAAGACTCGAACACCCAACCATGCACACACACACACGGTCATCCACACTCACAGCGACAACCACACACACAACCATGTACACAAACACGCACGACCAGGCAGACGTACACGCTCGTACATGCACAGCAATGTTCAACCACTCACACTCACACAGGCGACTCGCTGTGGCTGAAGAGGCAGGCGCAGAGTGGAACACTCGCACGCGTCCACCGCTCAACAGCAAAAGCAGCAGAAGTTGTTGTTACTCCTCCAGCTCGTCCACCTCGTCCTCCTGCCGCAGTTGTCCACCATCACCTGCAATCCACCCTCGCCCCGACCAGAGCAGCAGCAGCAGAGTGTTTTGTTTGACGCCACGGGCCCAGCGTCTGTGGCAGGAGCACGGCAGACGGAGCGACGGCTCGCAAACTGCGACAAAGAATGTGGAGGAGCAGTGGGGGAGGTAGGCGGGGGATGGCGATGGGACTGGGTGAGTGAAGTGAGCGAGTGGGCGGTTCAACTCAGAGAGAGAGAGAGACGGAGGATCTGTATACTGGGTTTGTTGTTGCTGTTGTACGACTTGAATCACTAATTCCTCACGTCCATTCTCTTTCTCTGCGGTGTGCTGCTGCGTGAAAGGTGTGGGCTGGGGGGCGATGGGAATTCCCCTCCCCCCCCTGCTATCAGCACCAGCCTCCACGCCTCCACTACCTTTGCCACCACGGCGATCTGAACAACGAGTCGCGCTCGTCAGCGGGCAGGATAAACATCTGTGGCGGGGGTAGGGGGCAGGGCAGCGAATGGGAGAAGAAATGAAATAATCACTTTTTTTTGTATATTTCTCCCGCTTTGAAACTTTGCTGCTGCTGCTGCCTCTGTGTGAGTGAGTGGGTGGGGGGAGGGAGCCAATCGCCACGTCCCCAGACCCAGCACCTCCCTCGCCTGCTCCGCGCTGGCCGGAATAAACGCGCGCGTGCTGGGCCGCGTTCATCCCGTCAATCATCGCGAGACACGTGCAGGAGCCACCCTCTCCACCACGAGATGAGGATGATGGGGAGTGGTGGTGGTTGCGAGCGCATCCGCCACCGCCTAATCTGGGATATGCACACGCGACGCTGGTGTTGTTCTTGCTGATGTTTGCGGCCCAGTTACAAAGAAAACAAAAGTTGGGCAATGTGCTGTTTTTTTTTTGCTGTCTGTTTTCGAATACACACAACTGCGCAGGCACTTTAAGGGGAAAAGATGAACGTTAATGATTGTTGTTGCTGTTGTTGTGTATTGTCACGAGGATTGTGTACCCAGGAAAGGCTCGCGAATGAGTCTTAAAACTCTGGGGGGTTTTCTAAGTTGTCGCAGTGACGATGCAACGTTGCTTCCTCTGGAGTACTGTAGGGCAATCCCGATTGAGGAATGTTCCAGATGCGTGCTTTGTGAACATTGAGGATGTTTTGGCCAATAAAACTTCATTTGCGAGTCGGTGTTAAGCAGCGCTACGAACCCGGCGACCCGAGTTCGATTCCCGCTCACGGCCACCAACACCGGTGACGATTATCTGCATCGGTTCTGGGCCTCCTCTAGGTCGACTCAGCCTCAAACGAGTACCTGGGTGCGATGTGTAAACGTCGCCACTGGGGAGACATGTGTCGTGCCGGCTTTCATAGGTGCTGCTTACTAACGGCACTTGCCCCAACAATCTATTAAGGCTATACGGAGAGCTTTGTCTTTGTGTGTATATTGTATGTGTGTGTGTGTGCTTATTGTGTGTAAATATGTTGCACGTAATGTTTGCACCGTACGTAGCCAACCGCGCCACTAGGAGGTGCGGAGAAGGACAATAAACTAAAGACAAAAACGCAGTTCTTAAGAAATGATTCTTTGGTTCTTTCGGTTAAGTCACGCCTAAAGATAAATAATAAATTAAATAATAGCATATTACGACGTTTCGATTGCAACACAAGCAATCATCATCAGGCATAAAAGAAATAGCAACAAAAATCTAACTAGAAAACTATAGACAGACAGAAATGAGTTTATCCATCGAGATGATGAGTTGACGAATGAGGCTTTCAATGTAGATCATTGAAAAGTGCATAGCTCCAGTGGCTTCCTAATATGAGAAGGAAGAGCGTTCCAGACGGCCGCGGAAGCGCATCTGAAAGCGCCGCGCGATGATGATGCGGTGACCGCCGCCTTTGTTTGATGGTCGGACAGAAGCCGCTGTGATGATGAGCGGAGTTGGCGTGATGGTGTTTGATGTTGAGCAAGGAGAACCCCCGTGCAGAACAGGGGGAGAACAAGACGAACTGTACCGCAGTTACTGAAGAAGAAAACAAATCCTGGTGAAAGACAATCCCATCGTGGCCGATGTCACGACAGGATAACTTTGTCTAAGAGCGCAAGAATGTCAAAACCGGTCCAGAGTTTACAAAAAAATATATTTTTTATCTTGACAAGATACTTCTTCATCATACAGTGGAAAGCCAAGATGCCGATGGGACAAAATGCGTCCTTTTGTATGTGGAGAACAGAATGGAGTTCCGTTTATTAATATGATCATGAGAAACGTCCCTAAATAAGAGTATGTATTTATACTGGAGGAATCCGATGAGCTGTACCTGACCACCCATCCCCTCGTGTGCCGTAGCGACCTTCACAGGTGCTGCTACTCGCTAACAGCACTCGCCCCAACAGTCTGTTCAGGCTACACGGGGGATCTTTGTCTTTGTTTGACCGTCAAACCAGTGAGAGATGGCGACGGTTGGAAGAGGCCTCCATCCAGCTGTGGACTGATCAAGGTCGACGATGACGACAGTAACAATGTACACGTACAGCCCAGAATGTTTATAACCCATTGCAAGGTACACTGTGCGTATCTCCTGCCACGTACAGCAGTTGCTTCAGCTATACACAATATCGAGGTCGACAACCCTTATTCTCGCCTGTACCAACGCCATATATAATAAAACAAATTCCCACCGTGCACACATGTTTCCCCCGCCAGGCCGATGACGGGCCCTTCTATCTGAACCAGTGCACAAAACGTTGAACACAATCGTCGAATTTCCCACGGCCACATCCGCGACATTTCTGTGCGAGCACCAAGAGAAAGTCGTCGCGCTTGACGTCAACGTTCTGTGTTCACGGATCGTGGAAAGCGGCACCCGCACGAGGAACTCCATGTGTGTGTGTGTGTGTTCGTGGGTGTGAGTGTTCGTGGGTGTGTGTGTGTGTTCTGGCAGGGCCCACCTTTACCAAAGTGACTGTGGCTCATGAGTCATGCAGCTGGCGGTAGGTTGGGCGCGGTGGGGTGTGATAGCGAAGCCACGGAATTGCACACAAGCTGTGTGTGTGTGCTGCTGCTGCTTTACCCCACAGGATAAAAAAATATACAAAAAAGTTTCCTTCACGTGAGGTTGTGGGCAAATGTTTCCGTAAAAATACAACCGGCTCCCACACACACGCGCGTACTGTAGCCACAGTCATCTATTGCAATAACATTGATAGTCTGAGTGTAACGTGAAGTTCTCAACAGAAAGAAGGAAGAACGCTGGTAGTGATGGTAGCGGTAGCGGGGGATTGCGTGGTGTGGGGAAAAGTGTGGGTAACTCCCACCCCTTGCAAGATGTCTGGCCCGGCGTGGAAGAGTAGGCCGAATATCATCTCGAGGACCTCTAGACGAGAGCAGGCTCCGTCCAGCGGGAGGATCCTTGTTCAGCAGTGGCGTGAGCAATTTCAGGATCGTAGCTTCACCACCACCTTACACAGACATATTACAGTGACGTTTATTCTGATACTGATGGAGGTCATATGATTTGCCTTATAACAGTAATGTAGTGAAGTTGGTTATGATGGTTGTAGGATTGGTAACAGTAATGGAGTTCGCGACGAATGAGAAATACGGAGTTTGAATCAGCATTAACTTAATATTATACCTTTAATTAGCAGTGTGTTAAGTGGTGCAGTAGTTGGTGGAACCTGACTGCTGAATTTCATTCCTGACCATGACTAATCATATCGATGGCGTGATAGCCGCCGCCGTGGTGAGATGTTAACTACCTCGCCTGGTATACAGGAGGTCGTGTGTTCCGACCTGACGCCTGCTCTATATTTGGAGTTTGCATGTTCTACCCGTGGTCTCGTGGATTTTTTTTCCCTGAGTCCTCCGGGTTTTCCGTCCACTTCGTTGAGCTGTCGTTTGTGGTCAGGTCGCTTTGTAAAAAAAATAGTTCTATATGTAGCGCAGTGGGCCTTACTTGGTAAACTAGAAATAGTTTCCATGGTTTTTGGTTTTGTATCGGAAGAGGTCCTCTCCCTCCTAACCTAAGCCTACTTTCGCTCAGCCTAAATGTCCAGCGAGGTGAAGTATGGTCTAGCAAACCCGAATAACCGACACGGCACGGAGAGGCCGTCAGCAGTGAATTGGCATAGGGACATACATTATTGTTATTATTAGAGGCTGACAGTGTCCCTGGAAGATTATCTAATCTTTTTGGGCTTCGAGACAAACGCGTACTCAGCGCAAATAGATCAACTTTTTTTTAAAATAGCCATGCAAAGTTGATATGAATGACGGACAAGGAGGTGGCAACCAGCGAGATGCAGCAGGATTGTGAGTTGCCTCTCGCTGGGACGCGCTCCTCAGATGACCCGCAGAGCAGTCGCGGACCCCGCAGCCTTCGCCGAAGGCCCCCTCGATGGGGCCTTCGTGCAGGAGTTTGCGTGACGGGTCAGCGGCGAAGCGCTCCGCGATCGCTTCGCTGGGACCACTGCTGGCGGGGAGGGCCTCCGACAGAGCCACCTGTCCAGGGTATTTGTGGCCTACTCTTGCACGCTGGCCAAGACGTCTCCGAAGCGACGGGAAGAAGCCCACGGTCTTACCCCGACCACGCGCGACTTTGCCAGCCGACTGATTCAGAGGACAAAGGGTGGGTGAGGATTTCAGACTTGAGAACATCGCCTTCCACGCCCGAATTCGTTCAACTACTGCGCCGGGTGATGGAATCGAACCCGGCGCGAACCTCTGGATAGGAAGTCAATTTCGCTCTGGCCATCGCACGACCTCAGAATATGATGGAGTGGGCAAGCTGCCCCCTACGAAGCAGCCAGAGGAGTTAGAACGTTACTGCGACTAAACCCGCACAGCTCTTGTGAGCATGGCGCTTTAAGTTTAACAGCGTTTGAACAGTACATCAACGTACAAACATCTACATCCAATGTAGATGTTTGTACTCAGACTTAAACCCGCATGCCTGGCGCATCTAAGAGGCTAATCCAAAGCCTGATCTCTCAAGTTTTGAATTCCAAACAATTCTAAAGCCACCACACAATAAACTCCTAATTAACAAACAGGGACGTCGCAAACACCGAAGTCTCCCTGAGTAGTCGGGTCAACAAGGGACGTTGCTAAGACGATGCAGAGTGTGGACAAGGAGGAGGAGGAGGAATACCGAGGGATGTGCACGCAGGAGGCGAGGGACACGTGGTGCTTGGGGTGACAGTCCAGGTGGGGCTCACGAAATGAAAGGGTAACAAACGCGCTGAGTGCTGGAGGAAGAGAATTGTGGGGCAGGACTTTGCATTTCAGAATGCCCACGTGGGAGCCTCAACATTGCTTTCACTTATCCGGGCCCTATGGTTGTTTATACGGCATGTGAGGTCTAATTGTTGTTGCTATTCTGCT